AGGAGTGAACAGCAAGCGGCTCGTCCTCAAGATGGCGTCCTGCTGATTCTGATTGGCTAACAGTGCTGTCAATCTCACTTTGGTGGCTATCGCCGCATTCTATTGGTTCTCACGATTCGAAGGCGGTGTCAATCACTGAAACCGACCAATCATGACGGAGATACAGCCTTGCGTCACCACAGGCGCTTCACAGCAGTCTAGAGTCAACCTTTGCGGAGAGAATGTTCACGTGTTGTCTCTGATCTGGGAGAAGTTTAGATCAGCAGCTGGATCATTACAAACACATCATTGTCCTGATTTTATTTTAACCTAAAAATGTTCATTTACTCTGAACCAGTAACATATTTACTAATATTTACACATCTGAATAAATCTTACAAGTCTTCCTTTTATTATGACGCAAGAATTATTCAAACAGACCTCGTGGTTGCAGATAAACTGTTTTTATTTTGTCATTTTCGAGCAGAGGCTGAACAGGTTAGGTGCAGTTGTGTCTATATAACTTAAATGTAAAGTTATGTAATCATATGGTCTCAAACAGACTCCTTCTCTTATAGGAAAATTAGACAAATCACTTGTTTCTCTTTCTCTGTCTTTCTGTGTATGATGGAGGCCTGTGTAATCTGATTTTTGCCTTTTGATTCTTTCCTTTGTTAAAGTAAATCAGGCAAATGTTTTTCTTGAGCTAGAAAGCCTGAAAAAAATCGCTAAAGTTCAGGAAAACACGATTTAAATGCATGACTTGTAGACAGAACAGGTAAAGTAAAAGAAACCTCTACAGGGAGCAGAGTTTGGGAACAGGCAGTGAGAAGGCCGGTAAGGGGTCATTAACAAAGTAAAGCAGGAACACAAAGCACAAGGCTGCAGCTCCGTCCCCAAAGGGCAGATATATGTGTACTGGAGGGCTGGGGTGGGGATTCAGGGCAGGTGTGTGTGGAGGTCTCACACAACAACAAAGAGCAGCAGATGTTAAGAACTCCTTCCAAACTTAAAGATGGCACCACCCACGTGACCAACAAAAGTAATTAATATGTTAATGCTAGTGAAAACTAAACAAACAGAAAACACCAGACTAGTAGCTTCTATCAGAGGTGAACAGCTGCGACTAGAAGTTTGACGTCTACATGAAACACAAAGACGACGAGAGGCAGCGAGGCGTTGAAGCCCAGGTGTGGTGATGGCTGCAGTCTGGTTGGAGGAGGAAACCGTGGAGCTTCCGGCCAATCAGCTGAGATCGGAGACAGGTGTGGTTTGGAGCTCCTCAGGCAGCTGTAATCACGTGTCCACACAAGACAAGGCTGCAAAGGATCCACCACAAATAGGAAAGCACCACCAGAGGCCGTAACAGCAGCAAACTGCCATGTGGGCTTCTTGAAATTAATGTAATAAAATGTCAGACAGGAAGTACAGCGCTCTATAGAGTTGTTTCTTACCATCCTTCCACACACACCTGACCTGTGACAATCACTCTTGGCTTCTATACATTGTTAGCAGTTTATTAGGGACACCCGGCTACAGCCAACACACCTGTACCACAAATCCTACCCTCATGAAGGCTAGAACATTCAGCTTTTGTTGAAACTGTTTGAGAAAGATGCTGATTCAGTCAGATGTAGTTTGTGATGCTTGTTGCTGTAGTTGGGAGGAAGGACCAGAACACAGGCGTTGAGCTCTCAAAAGGAAAAACATGTATTCCACAGGTCAACAAAATGAACAAAACAGCTTCCCAACAAGATAATCCCCCAAAAAACAACTACATTATTCTGGAGAATGAGTCACACCAAGCAAAAAAAACCAAAGACCTGGTTGTTGCCTCTCGCGGCTCTATAAACCCGTCACCTGAGGTCTGGTCCAATCAGGGAGGATTCTGGGGAAGGGCCTGATTTCCACCCAGCTGGCTGCGATCTCCCCTGATGGACAGCTCAGCTCACACACCTGAGTGGAGTCCTGAGTGATGACAAGTCTCCAAGCAAATCAGCACAACAACCACAACAACAAAACAAATCCAAACCTTCCTCTCAGCATCAACATACTTGTTAGATATCTACTTGGGATACATCGTGTTTATTTTCTAATGCATCTAGTCACGGATTACAGGAATTACACCAACTTAGTAATGTCATGTTGTTGTAAGATATTGGGGAAATGTAGTGTAGTTGGTTATTTATGGCCCTAATACACTTTGCATTAATTCTCTAAGGCTTCCCTCTGAGGTGGGAAGCAGAGGTTTGATCACGTTATTCTCCCGTTGTCTCTAAAATCTCTGAGAAAAATGAAGATGCATGTGCGACTCTGTAGTCAAAACTACTGCAAATACTTTCTGGACATTCTGCAAGGCTTTAAAGCTAGGCTAGTTAGCATTTAGCTGGACCAACAATGATGTGACTGTGTTTGATTTTACACCCAAAAGACCAACCGGTACCACCCATAGCTCATGCAGTGTATCATGGGGCTTGGTATGAGGTCCATCCCCTCCCCTCTGTGTCCCTTATTTACTGCAGATAACCAACAGAGCAAAAAAGGTGGGAAAGGTATATAATTAGCTGTCACCATAGCAGTGTCGCGCCATAGAGAGGCTTAAAGACGCCTCAGGTGACAACCTGTGTTTCTGAACCTTGTTAACACGTTGTGTCAACCTGCGGGGAGGAGCTTCCTCCGTCAGTAATCCTTACAATTTAGTCCAGTTTTTGAGCAAAGTCGTGACCAAAGTGCTGAAGCTGCTGCTGCGAGTGCAGAGAGAAGCTGCTCATGTTCTAGAGGATGCAGAGCTACATCGTTCTCCTTTCTTTAGACTAAAGGGATTATTTTTTAATGGAACACACTTCTAAATATGTCATGCTGAGATAGGTTTTAGGGTTTGAAACAACAATGACTTGAGAGGGATCATGTGGAGTTCACAGCTTCACCCATAAAAAATGCAACTTGCATAAATATTTCTGTGTGTCAGATGTGTGTGTCTTGCTGCAGCTTTTGTCAACACCGCAAACTTGCCTTCACTTAATTACACAGTCACTCACACACACACACACAGTCAGAGTGTGTATGTACAGCACACAGAGAAACCCACAGCCCATAAGGGATCTGATTTTGGGAGCCAATCCAGCTCCTAACAGCGGTCTGTTGGCCAGATCCTGTCCACTGAGAGTTCCTCGCAGTGTGAGAAAACCTAATGGAAACAGTGCAGGGCAACAGGTGGTTCAATAAGGCAGCATCAACAAGTCAGAAGACCTTCATATGGAGGAAGGTGTGCATCCCTGGAACAGGATTTAACGAGAATTTTCCAGAGCTGCAAACGTCCTTGAATCTGAGATCTGTATTTAGCTGTTGACTGAAAGCTCCCAGAAAACAAACTGCAGCCGTTTGGAATAAAAGAAATAAAATGTTCAGCTTTTTGCTCGGGCTTTATATTTGGTTTCTGTCTGACACTGTGAGGTCACCGTGATCTCTGCACACAAGATGAACGTTTTCAATTTCCCCTTTATCTATGTTGTTTTCCTTTTATAAAAACTTTTGCGAAAATGTCTGAATTTCTCCCGCTGCTAACTCCTTCAGTCGCCCCGCTGCTACGCCGGTCATCACTGAAGTCAATAGATAAGTGCGGAAAGCTGTGTGTTAGTTGAAAGGTTTCTGTGCAGCTAGGTTACAGCAATTTTTGAAGCGCCGTTAGTGGCAGATCAGAGCGATCCAGAAACAGGAAAGGTGCCGGAGATGAAAAAAACTCATTACTAGAGGTAGGAAGGAGCAAATTGGTGTGACAAAAACAAAAATAATTCCACATTTGCAGGATATTAAACGCTATGCATGCTTGGTTTGCATTTCTTTCCGTGTCATTATTCTCTAACACCCTCAGACACACTCAATGATGTTTTTCATTTAAACCTTAATCAGACTTTCAGTGCTCTCTGTAGCGCCGTGCTTTCTCTTCCTGCTCATATTTCTTTTTTTAACTGCAGCAGGATATGAGAAATTTGATGTATAGTTTCATCCTCCGTGCCTCTGCTGAAAAACGTGGCTTTGCAGTGTTTTTGCCAGACGGGGTTGTTCAACCTCTGTATCATTCACCGCAGGTATTGTCTCCAGCGCTGTTGTAATTCTGCTGAAGAATGAGGTTTGAAGAAAGAGGACGCTGCGGCTGTTTGACTAAAATAAAATCCATATTCATGCAAAGGTTAAAAAAGCAATAAACAGCGAGAAAGAGCTGCGGATGATCCACGGCCGCTCTCACAGGCTGCGGTCCTGACATCAGTTTTGGACCGAGCTGCATTCAGTTTTATTAATATTGCACCAGTTCAAAGCACATCTCCAGGCTCCTCACACAGGTAGAGGGGATTACCAAATGTCACAAAGTTTATAAAGTGAAAGCAAAAGTGAATCTCATGAAGCGAGTCCCAAATGGCTTGTTAGCAGATGCTCTGCACTGAACTCGAAGGAGCAAGGAGGGAAATCAATCTGAAGGAATGTTTGACATTTCAGGAGGTGTGTGCGTTTGCTTTGTTGCTGAGAGTTAAATAAAAGGATCCACCCCAGTGTCATGCTAATGTGATGTAAAGCTGCAGCCAGCAGGTGGTCAGCTTGGCTCGGTCGTGCCTGTGGGACCATTTCCTGACGTTTTCCCTCGATGCCTGGGAATTCTTTCACCGCTGAGCTGAGATATCTGCTGGCTCACATGTGATGTGGTAACTTGGCTGCAGAGGTGCTGGTGGGCAGCGGTCGGTAGCCAAGTCCCTAGCATCCTATTTTTATGCTCAGCGAAGCTAAAAACCCACCTCCTGGATGTTTGTTTAGCACAGCGTGGTATCAATTATCTCATCAGGTTTAACGAGGGCGGATGGAGCTGAAAAACTGATCAATCAACAGTTATTGATGATAAAAAAACTGCAGAAAAAGGTTTATTTTAACCCTCTGGCTGTGGTTAGAGTGTGGGGTTGGGGGATAGCAGATGGAGAACAACCAATAAGAGCAGCCCCTCACCTTCCTTTTCTCTGTCCCCGTCTCTGTAGGAATTTCTACTACATCACTATGCTACGCGACCCGGTGTCACGCTACCTCAGTGAGTGGAAGCACGTGCAGCGCGGGGCCACCTGGAAAACCGCCCTCCACATGTGCGACGGCCGCCCGCCCACTCAGGACGAGCTCCCCGCCTGCTACAGCGGCGAGGACTGGACGGGCGTGCCCCTGGCAGACTTCATGAACTGCCCCTCCAACCTGGCCAACAACCGGCAGGTGCGCATGCTGGCCGACCTGAGCCTGGTGGGCTGCTACAACATGTCCTCCATGAGCGAGCTGGAGCGAGGCCGCGTGCTGCTCGCCAGCGCCAAGACCAACCTGCGCAACATGGCCTTCTACGGCCTCACGGAGTTCCAGCGCAAGACGCAGTACCTGTTCGAGCGGACGTTCGGCCTGCGCTTCATCCGGGCCTTCACGCAGATCAACAGCACTCGCGCCGCCAGCGTGGGAATCAGCGAGAAGGTGCGGTGGCGCATCGAGGGGCTCAACGCCCTCGACGTGGAGCTTTACGAGTACGCCAAGGAGCTGTTCCTGCGGCGCTACCAGTACAACCGGCAGAGGCAGCACCAGGAGGAGCGTCTGAGGAGGCGTCAGGAGAGGCAGCACAGGCAGCGCATGCACAGGACCTATCTGGCCGAGCTGTGGAGACTGGGAGGAGGAGGAGGAGGAGGAGGAGGGGAGGAGGAAGACGAGGAGAAGGAGGTGAAGGTGGTGGAGGAGGTGGCCACCACAGAGGACTACAGCAGCCAGGTGGTGCGGTGGTGAGGAACGAACACCACAGCTCTGACTGCTCGCTGTCCAATCATTGTGCTTTACTCTCCTCCCTCCGTCTCCCTCTGTCTCGCCTCTGCTGTGGATCTGCCAAAACCCTCCCGGCCTCATCGCGCTTCGTCGGACTGCCGAATGATGTCTTAATATTTATGATGGATGTATTTGTCATGGCAACATAAACATTTTGTATTTATGTTTTTTCTTATGGCTATCTTTGGCACTGCAGTTGTGAAATGTATTTATTTATTCATTAGCAGGCGCTTTGAATGTCCTCAAAGCAGCGAAAACGTTTCTTAAATTCTGCTAAGAATTAGACGAAGTGAAACTGAAGAGACGAGGCCCGTTTCAGCACATCCTGGAAACGGTGGCCGACTCCTGGTGAAGGATCCTCAGTGTCATGTTTGTGATCTAGCGCCGTGTTGATCAGTGAAATCTTGTAGTTACTCTGTGGTGTTTGGCTTCATAAGAATATCAAAGCACAAACTTGGCAATAGTCTGCAGTGTGTTTTCTTCTCTTTGACTGATTAAGCTGCGACATACAGAAACAGTCAAGGCAAAAAATCTCGCAGGAAATGTGTTCAATAAAAATATGCAGCATCCAGTGATGTTAATTTGTACCTGATGGACTCGTGGACGTGCACGTGTTCTTGCCTTGCTCCTTTTTTCACAGCATGTTCTCACCATAAAAATCTGAAATCTCGGCGTGTGCCAGCTTCTTCCGCGTCCACACACATCCAGACACACTGACGCACGCCGACCGGGCTTCTTCTGGAGAAGCAGAGCAGAGCTGCGGGCCTGAAAGACAGACTGTCAGAGCCGGTTTCGGCGCTCTTACATCACTGAGACAGAACATTGGTATTTCCACCATTAGGGCATTGATCACGGGGCTCTTTGCCTCCAAATTGATCATTTAAAGTTCAATTGACCGTGACTCCGGCGCAGCAGAAAATAGAAGAAACCCAGCGGCGTGCCCGGCGCTTTTTCTCCCTCCTAATTTGACAAACATGCAGCTCAACGGACGGTCCGATCGCACCGCAGGAGAAAAACAATCTGTTCCAACACTTTTCCACAAGCAGCACACCTCTGAGACGTCAGGCGCTGCGATGATTGCTGAGTATTAATATCCTCGTTCTGGAAAATTGTGGCTGCACTTCCCGGGTGCCCTGCACAGGCATTCTGTTCACGGCAAGAAAAACGAGGATGAGGAGGAGATCAGTCAGGAGGCAGGAAAGGAATTGTCCGCAGACTAAAATAGCCTTTCCATCTGTAGCTGCAATCTCCAATTCGACTTGTACGGCAGCAAGATTAGAATTATATAAGCCTGTGACGATGACACCGGGTCCCTGTGCACACATGCAGGAGGCTGCAGACACCTTGACATGTTGGACTGTTTGCGTCTTCGGTCTTTTATGTGTGTCACAGCTTAATAACTATTTTAATTGTGATGTGAGTCGTGAAGCGCTGCAGCAGAGCGACACTCGGTATCCAGGATGAAAGTGTCTGCTGCCAGTGATAGACAAATATTGTAAAAGCTTCCCTAATCTACGGAGGATGTGTCGCTGTTGACAGGGAGAATGTGCTCCGGGAGGTCCGCATTAGATGAAGATGGAGGGATGTTTGTCTGTTCTCACACCGGGTTTTTTTGTGCATGGGTTTTATGTAACAGCGACGCCCTCTTCCAAGATTCCAACCTTTTGGTTCCTTTGTTGTCTTTGTGCAGCGATACAGAGAACAGCGTGCAGCCTTTTAAAGCGAGGAATGCGCAGGCTGCCTTGTTAGATCGCGGGGAAGGTGAACGCATCTGTACAGAGAACTCGGCTAAGTGCTCAGATACCTGTCGTTCACAGACGAGCAGCTGGAGGAGGTGTTGTTGTCGGCCTGTACAATCACTTCAATGCATCGCCGGGGAACAAAGAATGAGAACCGATACGGGCTCGTTTTCAAAAGTTTCTATTCTCAAAGTACTGTAAGCAAAAAAATAAAATAAATAAATCAAGGAAAGAAGCAGAAACGTTAAAATAAAGGAGAAAATGATGAACTACTGCTGGTTCTAGTCACTCGGTTTGTTCAACACAGCTGCATGCTTTGCTACAAACTGAACATATTTTTACTGTGTTTTTAACTTGCTGGGAACCAGAGCGATGGTTCAAACCTTCATGTCAGTGAGCAGCTCCACTGCTCAGCCAGTGACTCTGGTTCAGTTTGAAAATTCACTCGTAAAGATCTGGTTGTTTATGTCACAGACTGCATATAAAAGATTAGCATAGCCACCGTAGCATCACCTGTTGGTTTGTGCACCACCATATTGATTTAAAATCTGTCCATCAGCAAGAAGTGGCTCTGATCGGACAACACATCCTCACCCTGAAACACGCCTTATTTTTTCCAAAACAGACACGTGCTTTACAAAACTAACAACATGCCACGCTGACCGAGACTTCAAACTAAAGATCAAGACCATAAACTCAGCAGGAAAACGTCCAGTGAGGTAACACATGAAGCCAGAAGTAGGATCATCTTCTACTTCTTTTTGCAGCCAAAGGAGTCGCCCCCTGCTGGCTGTTTGACAGAATGCAGCTTTCACTTTTCAGACCCAGAGGCTACATCGACCTTTAACACACCATCTACAGGCTCTTCTGCTTGGTCAAGAAACACGACTATTATCTATTAACGAGAAGTTTTAATTCATCATTCCTCATCATGACGACAGCTCAGCAACAACCAGATAGTTAAAGGTGACAAACTCTGACGTGACAACAACACACTTTATGATTTTTAAATTAGTCAAAAAGATGTAAAGCTAATCTTAAAGGAGCTAGCTAACCGACACTCACCTTAGTTTTAGCTTATCAGGGATGATGTATAAAAATAAAAAAGCAGAAAAAAGCACAAAACAGCTGCAAATGCATAATTATTGGGACTGGAAACAGCAAAACAAAAAATGCAAAGTGGATTTTTCAGTAAAGTCTTAATATATAATACCTCCTGCTGGAAATTTTAGATCCTGCAGATTTTTTAAATGGATTTTTCTATTGGATCATAAATGCTGGCATATGAAGGGACTGACATGTGAGGCTCAGGTACTCTGCTGGGCTCCTTACAGGAAAAATGCGGAAATGGACCGGGAAGGAAACGTACAGCTCAGAAATGCAAACACACTCCAGGTTTCAGGACCAACAAAGTGATCCATTGTGTCCGGAAATTATACTCACAAGACTTCCAGTCAGAGAAAACAAAAGGTGGAGCAAAGGTCTAAGTTATTGCACAAATCTTACAGCTGGTACCTTTAGTTATTCCTGTACACACATCAAGGGGTTGGTTTCTGGCCAAGACAAACCTGTAAAAACCAGCACAGGGAGGCCTATTGTGTCTGACAGTGACACATCTGAGTGACTAAGCATTCGGCGTTAGTCATGCAGCAGGCACATCATCGGCTGCCTTGCTGATGACGGACACTTGCAGCACCGACTTGGCCTTCTGCAGCCAGTGTTCCCAGTGAAAGGCGCTCAGGAAGGCCCTCCTGAACTTGTCCCCAGAGAACGTGTACAGAGCCAAGTTAAAGAACGTATTGAGTCCCGCCAGAGGCCTGGAGACGATGTAGGCTGCGTGCACCGTGCGCTCCACCGTGCACGTCGCAGTCCCGCGAATTTCCACCCGCAGCGCACGCAAGATGTGATACGGCAGGAAACACAAGACAAACACCACCAGGATCAGCACCGTCACGCGCCGCGCTCGCATCCGACTGGGGCTGCTGATGTTGGGCCCTTTGCCCAGCTGCCTGACGATGCCGACGCAGCACATGAACACCACCACTAGGGGCAGCAGAAAGCCAAGCGCGGTGAGCAGCCAGCCGTACCACTGCATGCCGTCGTCGGATATGGTGCTCGCAAAGTCCGAGCAGGAGGTCTTGTTGTCCCTCACCTCCAGCGATATCATGGTCAGCATCGGCGTGACTTCGACGGCGGCGACGATCCAGACGGCCGAGCACGCAGCGACGCCCCAGAACTTCTGCTGCACCTGCGCCGCCCTCAGCGGCTTCATCACCACCACGTAGCGGAAAACCGCCAAGCACGTCAGGAAGAGGATGCTCCCGTAGAGGTTAAAGTGAAACCCGGCGCGCACGAAGCGGCACAGGAAGTCGCCGAGCAGCCACGACTCCTCGTTGGTGTAGTAGTACACGAGGAAGGGCAGGCTGAGGACGTAGAGGAGGTCGGCCAGCGCCAGGTTCACCATCAGGATGGTGCTGCTCTTCCAGGGGCGGAGCTTTGTCACATAAATGCTGATGGAGGTCAGGTTTCCCAGCAGGCCCACGATGAAGATGATGGAGTAGGTGACGGGCAGGTAGTAGCGATTCATCAGACGGTCCACGTCGGTGCAGGTGGGATCCATCGCTGAGCCCTGCTGAGGGAGAGGAAGGATTTAACGAGCCGGGATTAAAAAATAAAACCTCCAGACATTCTGCGGTTACACACCGGTCCTGACCCGAGATGTTTGGAATTGAATGAGTTCATCTGAGTGTGAAAACAGAACCTGAATTATGATTTGGAGAAACAGAAAACAGCCCTAACAGTTCAATAAATGAATAAGTTATAATCAAATCTCGGCCTACAAAGGGCTCACCCATGATCACAAAACACACTTTTTCTTGCAGGGAACCAACATTTGATTCATAAATGGCGACTGATTACAGAAATAGTCCGCCGTCTAACAAACGGTCGAGCCCTATCTGAAACCCAGAATTAGTGTAAAATGATTGCAGGCCACTTGGGGGTAGTGCGGCGCCGACATGATGTTATAAAACGGATGTAGCGTAGCGAGCAGATGGCAGGTTTGGCTAACGTGTAAGCAAGCAGATGCCAATTTACACATTCGACAGAAACAGAGCAGCATTAATATTCATTCTGAGTCGTGTCTCTGGCCCGGTGGTGGATGTCGGCGCCACGTTCTGCCTCTTTTTAGCTCCGTTTTTAGTCTCCACCAACTCCTCACAGCAGCTTGTTTAGCCGCCAAGAGTTCACGAGCTGGTTGCTAAACCTGTTAAATCGTGCTTCTGTCTGTCTTCTTGCTGAACGGGTAGAAAACAGCAACGCAATGAGAGCGATGAACCAAACGTTAAAACCAAAACAACATATCGATCACGAAATGTGGCGTTCTTGAACAATGTTTAACCTCGATGATAAAATCGATCCCTCTGTCTGTGGCTGTATTCATGCCGCATACGTTGTGCGAGTAAAAAAAAACAGAACAAATCATCATCGTTCCCTTTTCCCTCAGCTGTCATATCACTGTCAGAAGCAATTACTGCTGCAGGAAGGAAGGAGAGAGCAGGAGAAGAAACCCAGAGGTGAGCAGACTAGGAAAGAAACAAACAATCAAGCGAACGCAGTGGGAAAGAAGCAAACAGAAATCTTCTTTCCTCGTCAACAGCTTGGTTTCTGAGAGCCTCTCAGGATATGACAGCGCCCATGGCATCCTGGCTTGATGGCAGCTTCCTGTAATGCTGTCAGTGCAATCTGCTCTCATTATGGATGAGAGGAGATGTGTGAGGTGTCGTTTACACATCGTCTACTCGGAGATTTTATAAGGCAGGAACTTGTACTCATTAAAAAGCTTGTATTTTGGAAAAACACGAACCCCGTCTAGAAGATAATTTCAGTGTTACAGAGGAGTTCACGTGTAAAGGTAAAGTCTGAGGAACAGATCTTTCTACTCACTCTGAGCTCCAGCGTCTTCATCAGTGCACACCTTCAGCCTCTCATCTCTGTTTTCATTTCCAGTCCTCTGCCACTCCTCCTCCTCCTCCTCCCAGTTGTCCACACCCAGGGGAAACTCCGGCATATTTTCGAGGGACAGACAGACAGACGGACCACTCGTCCACGTCAGCGAACTTCCTGGTGTCATGGTCGAGCTGATAAAGCTCAAGGGTCGCTTTGTTTACAGCCCAGGTGAGACCGGGTTGTGTTGACTCAGGTAAATATGTGAGAAAAGGCGACACATCCAGCGTGTCTCAATAAATTAAATTCTCTCACACTGCTTTTGTTCAGAGAAATAAAGGCAGGAGTTTCTATTGAGGTCTCTGTGATGCCTTCAAACAGGCGTGTGATTACCTCAGTGTGACACCGCCCGGCTAAATTTGGCACAGACAGACCCTCGGCTTCTGATTAAAGCAATGAGGAAGTTTAGAATAATGTGGGAAACGAGCGGTTAAATATAAAGTGTCATGTGCGTGTCGTTATCTTCAGACCCCATACAGTACCTGTCATGTCAATTCCGCGTGTTTGTTTCACGTTAAATCAAACAGAACCGCGGTCCGTTTCAATCTCGTCAAAATATCTGTCAGGGTCCCACAAAAACCAGCAATTACTGACACACGAGCTGCTGCTTGAAGAGGGAACATTTCTAATCAAGCTGTGACTGAATTCACAGCTTGTTGTTGTTGTTGTATACCGTCACCCATCGTCATGAGCTCTGGGTCAAGACCGAAAGAAGAAGGTTGTAGATACAAGCAGCCAAAGTAGGTTTCCTCTGTCGGGTGGTGAGTAGCTCAGGGTCGAGTCACTGAGGTGGTTCAGGAACTAGGACACCTCTTGGGCACCTTCCTCTGGAGGTTTTGTGGGACCGCCCGACTTGATGAAGACCTCGATGAAGGGATGACGGACAAGACATGAAATGAGGAGCACTTACGTTGGAGCTGTGGACGGTCCTGAACATGAAACACCGGCACAAGACAACGAGAGACTCAGACACAGGTGAGGTAATGGGGAACAGCTGGACACGATCAAGACAACAGGAAGTAGAGCTGACAAAAAACCAGGACTACAAAATAAAAGCTGCCGACAGAAACAGGAAGACAAGAGACAGGAACAAACTTAACCCCAGAAAGAAACTAGAAAGTGATTCTGGAGAGAGAGGGACGTCTGAGACGACCCGCTTAACCGGCTGCTGACCCGAACCCAGATAAGCGGAAGGAAACGGATTGATGGAAGGATCGTCTTCGTATCTGAGGCAGCAAAGCAGCTCGTCTTACTGGAGCTTCCCGTGGCCCGGGGGGGAGAGGACGGAGGAGGTGCAGCTGATTGAGGCCTGCCACAGAAACAGGTGGCGGGTGAAGCGTATGCCGGGGCTGCTGGGCTGTCGGGGGTTTTAAGAGAGGCAAGCAGGTGGAAAACAGTCACCAGCGTGGAGCAGAGGATCCAGGTGATTGACTGAATGGGGGTGGCCAAGGAGGTCACTGAGGCACAGACTTGATCCGCCTCGATCTGGACCAGACCTGAAACACTCCAGGAGACAACACTGATGACGAGTTCAAGTGTGTTAAAACATCCTTAATTTTCTCACTTCGACAGACGCCTCATCTCCTGCTTGGTGTTCACCTGAACAGGTTGGAAGAGGTTCGATTTCCTACAAACAACAAACTTCTTCTAAAAGCTGTTTCTGCGTAAACCAGTCTGGATTCAGCGGCACACGGCTGCAAAAGTTCAATACTTAAAATAATAAGTTGTGCCTCTTTGTTAATTCATTATTTGAGGTATTAATTAGTGTAACTGTGACCCTTTGCACGTCTGCGGTGCACATGTGTAAATGAAACGTTCCTGATCTAAAGTCGTTTCCTCCGTCTCCCGTGGTAACCGTCCTCTCAGTGTAAAAACAAACACTGTAAGGATTCAGTGTGAATGTGTTCCTGCCCCGTCGGGTTCAAATGCAGAAATAAACCTCAACTCTTCACATCGAGCTGCCGTTTCCTGAACGGTCGTCCACCGACACGCAGGAATGTGTGTGTTTAAAGATCATTACACGGCGTTTACGTGTCAAGGCTGCTTCTGCTATTAACCCAGATCCACTTCCTCGTTCGCCTGAAAGTACAAAGACGCTACGAGTCTGTTTTCTCCTCCCTCGGCTGCCCTCGACATGCTGATCATCTCAGTGATGTCACTTTTCCCGAGATCACACGGAATCAAACGCAGCGAAAGCGGCAGAAGTTTACAAATGTTTATTTTACAAAAGAAGAGCTAGAAAGGATGTAAACAGAACTTTGGAGATCAATCTAAATTGTGACTTCTATTTTTTTATACTGTGGGGATGGTGCAGTCTTTGAAGCGGCAGCAGAAGCAAAGTGTTTATTGTACAGATAAAAATCATCTAAGTTCAGAGAAAAATTAATGTCAAAGATCAACCCGACGCGCAGAAATCCGAGCGCCGAGGATGAGGCGCCTCGGGGGCAGCTCGCCGGGCGAGGAGGGGGTGTCAGGAGGTGTTGATTGATGGGGGGGTTAAGATAGAGAGAAAGAGAGCGGTTCTGTCTACAGTTTGGGCATCCTGTTAGCGTTGAGGCGCATCGACACACAAGAGGAGCCGGCAGCGTAGCGCATCTCCCTCAGCATGCCGCTCCACTGCTTCTTATCGTCCTCGTACCTAACGGGAGCAAGACCAGAGTCACGAGTCTGAAACAACAAAAGCCTGAAATCCTCGGCTCCATAACTTGAGAAGACTTACTGCCAGACGTCAGTGACCTCTGTGGGAGCCACCTCCTTGTTCTCCATCTGAACCATGGCGAAGCCACCCACAGCGTACAGGGAGCCGCCGTTGCTCACCAGGTTGACGGAGCTCCTCTCCTGAGGGAACTCTGTGAAGGGCTCCCACCTGAGGAGAAGCAGCGTGAGGAGAAGGTCAGGCCAAGACGGAGCGCTCAGAGTGGATGGAGTTTGCTGCTTGTGTTGTACATCTCTGTGTCCTTTGTTAGTTTATAGCCGAGATGTGCTCATATGGAAGAGATCAGTAGTTAAATATACACAGAAATAAATGAAATAACCTCATCTGCTTCCAAAACAAGCCGCTCAGCTTCTACTAGCTAAAGCAGCAAATATGGCAAATGATGAATAAACCAACTGGAGGCTGTCAAGGCTGCATGTAGCTGCTATCTAGCTAACTCACTGAGCAGATTAATATTTAGCATCGAGTGCAGAAGGAAGCAGAGACAAGACAGCGAGTATAAAATATACAGAGTCTGGGGGCATGTGATGAGAGGAAATCAAATGTGACAGTAAACGGAAGTGTCACGGGAGAAATACCAGAATGAGATCATGAGAGGGTAAAGAAATAAAGAAGTGACTCACAACCACCACCGCTACGGGCCTCCGTAGACGTGGTGGTTGTGAGACTGATGTGGTTTGATGCACCGTTTGTCCTCAGCTAAAAGGTGAAACAGCTGCAGACGGGTTCCTACTTGTTTGTTGCGAAGTCGTAGGCTTCACACGTGGCGGTGAGGCCGTCCTCGTTCACTCCACCGGCCACCACCAGCTTGCCGTTGTGAATGGCGGCACCGAACATGGCTCTGGGCGTCTTCATGGCCGCCTGCTCCCGCCACTCCGACTGCTTGTGGTTGTACGCAAACATCTTGTTGAGGGCTTTGCTGTGGAGACGAAGGGAGGAAGACGTCAGCCAGGAGCTTCCACAGTTCAGAGAAATTCTTAGAAAAGCCTCGTCTGTTCCCACAATCACACAGCTGGAAGCGAAGATCGTTTTTAATAAATTGCTTTTATAATTTTAACAGCCTCCTGTATTCATCCAGACTGGCAGCGCATTCAGCATGAAGCCCTCATGAGAGCGTCGCTGAGTTTTCTTTCTAAAAGGACACAACCTCCCCAAACAACAACCAGCAGGAGAGCAGCTCCACCTGAGAGAGAAGCTCCACCTGAGAGAGAAGCTCCACCAGCTGCAGAGGGCTTCACCAAAAGAAAAAGACAGAGACGGAACAAAGGAAAGGAATAAAAGAGAAGTAAAAGACGTATAGATACCCTACAGAAAGGTGTGATCAGATGTGTGGTTGAGCTCCTTCACACTCATTTTTTTAGTTCTTATCAGATCTGATTCAAATTTACAGACTAAACATGTCTTATTTTGACGTCTTTTTAACAGAGCGGTGATTTAAACTGTACTTGATGATTAAATAATATCTTTGTAGGACATTTTATTGCATTTAAAGGTACCTTCTGGAGTTTTTTGCTGAGCTGGTAAAACAGCATTGACAACAAATGACCTGATTTCATTTCCTTCCTCGTTCAACATGACCTGCTTTGCTTTGTTTACATCATGGATTTTTGTGGAGCTCCTGTTGCTGATCATTAAGTAGATCTGCAGTGAGCGTCCACGACGGCACGAGACGGTCGAGATCGTGACGGCTGAGCTAAATAAAGACAAAATGAGTTCACACTCAGGCAGGAGGCTACTGAAGATATCGATGACATCATTCTGATCATGTGTGATGGATGTTGGTGCAGCATCTTAAACACTGTTGGCGGACGTGATGGTGGAAAAGACTGCAGTGAAACCAGAAGAGCTTCGTTCATCTGAGACTTGTGATGGAAATCTACCAGACCACGAGCCTCGGGCTGCTCCGACACGGCGGTAGAACAGCTCGTCGTACGCAGTTGCACTTACTCAACGTCATTTTGTCCGGTCTGATCTCCGGACCAGGAGGAGCTAATGGGAGGAAATAACACGGATGATGTCATGGTGATGTCATTGGGCTGATCCAGGATGGTTTTGGAACACAAGGTCTGAAAACTCATTTAAACATGTGATCAAACTGTGATGTTCTGATTGAGGTTTACAGTCTGGAATACAACTTAGTTCAAGCTGGAGCCTTTAAAGAAGTGACATCATGACACAAACGAGGCCAGATCGGCTTATTATGACTGGTTATGGGTATTCAGCAAATAGTAAACTAGACAGAAATACCTGCAGCCCTGTGTAGCGTCTGATTGGCTGAGCAGGCTGCGGCTCACCTTTAAAGTGCTGCAGAGTCTCTCAGAACATGTGAAGCAAGTAAAAGCACAAGAACAGTCCACTGATGGTAAAAAGCCACATGTTTAACCACCATGATGGTAAATGCTGGTTCAGCTTTAGTTAAGCTCAGTCTGACTACCTGGTTACTCCTAATCCACTCCTCCAACCTCTACGTTGCCCTCTTATGTCTTCTAGTAGCTATAATAAGGAGGCCTATAAGACATGAGTCTGGTGACTGAGCTGCACTATGAGACATGTAAACTGAGGACTCATATGAGGGACGTAAAGTAAAGCGTCTCGGCCTGTTGAACTCTGATTTTCAGGTTCTAATCTCTACATTTTGCTCTTGGTTTTCTCACAGGCTGAATTGTTTCCCTGCTGGTTTTTAATTGTCTGTCTGGTGGGAGCTTTCACACCTTCCTCCTTCAGGTCCCAGCTGAAATTCAGAGCAGGAGAAGCGCACCTGTTTCCTCTTGATGACTATCCTCCGCTGACAGCTGAACCGAGCTGACTGATTGGTCTATTATTAGTCTCAGCATTAAATTTTTTTTTCTCCATAAAGCAGTGCATCTCTGCCGCTTGCGTTACAAACATCGCAGGACACGTGTTCGCCGCTGCGCTCTGAGGCCGAGGGAATAAACAGAGCATGTACTCCGAGTGTAACAGGACACCTACAGGAGCAGTACTTTCCATTATTGCAGCATATTAGAGTGCAGCCCTGGATGGTAGCGCCGTTGTTGTTGTTTGTGATGTGCCATGCAGCCCTGCAGGCCGGCAGGATGATAGACCACAAACAGCTGCAACACACACTCACACTCACACACACACACACACACACACTCCTTAACTCACTTGTCGTCCGTCTTCCCTCCGATGCAGTAGACCAGGCCTTTGTGGGAGACGACAGCGTGGCCGTGGATCTTCAGAGGGAGCTTTTTGGTCTCGTTCCACTTCATCTTCCTGAGAAACGGGGACGGTTTCAAACAAGCGGATCTCATTAGGTGTTATTTCCCTGGCCTTTTGTTTCTGCCGCGTGGCTCAGGAGTTTTAAACCGACGCACGCGTGATGAATGTAAATAATTTCAGTGTCAGAACATGTAAAGACGGAAACGGCTCGATAATTACGGGGAGAAATAACCGGAGCAGATAAGGAAGGTGCGATTGCATCTAACAGCAGTAATTATATCTAAACACCACACCTTCCCTTATTTATTTATTTAAAGAAAGCAATCTAGATTATTTCCTGAAGTTAATTACCACCTGAAAACCTGAGAAACAACAAGAAAAGCATTAAAAGAAACGCTGCTACTGACTCGACGTCGTAGCACATGACGGTGTCCAGAGACTCGTTGGTCTGCAGGTCTTTTCCGGCCACGGCGAACAGCAGACTCCCGCTCTCCCCGATGTTGAAGAGGCATCTTGGAGAGGGCATGGGCGGCAGGGCGACCCAGTCGGATGTGAGTGGATCCAGCTGAGGAGGGTGAAAAACACATTAAAGCTCGAGAGCCGAGGAAGCAGCCTCTTAGCAGCCATTAGCTCCACACGGATCTCAGTCTGCATGATATCCACGTATTGATTATGCTGTAAAATATAGTTATTCAAGGCCTTTATCGTGTCCTTTAGCGTCTGCGCTGCTCAGGCCTGATGGGCAACGGGGGGAACATAATCCACCAAATGAAAGAAGAGTCGGTTTTTGTGGTTACATGCTAAAAAAATGTTCATTTGTGGCTTCATTAAAGCACCAAAATGAAGGCTGAAGCAAGGTTCCAGTGGGCTTAAATACCTCCTGAGAAGACAACTTGGTGAGCAAATGCTAAGTGACTTATTTTCGGACAACAAATATGAAACTGGAGGCAGGAGACAGTCGAGGAAACTCATGGTTTCTTCAGGACTGAGTTTGAAAGAGGACAGCTGATGCACACGGCTCTATTTATACTGCAGCAGATGCACATCGATGGACAAAATTTGTGTCAAGTGTCCTCTTGTAGACCCTTGTGGACAAACTGGCCTTTAGCGTGGATTAGCATAAAAAACAGGAGGTGAGAGGAAACGGTGAGCATCTACTGGCAAAAATGATTAAAACACCTGCATCTCAAAAGCCAACTAGTTGTTAGACCTCTTTTTTATGTCTACTTAATGTATACAAACGCGTCAAAACAACAGGGCCATGCTAGCTACTTCCACCCCTAATGCTAAGCTAACTGATTTGAGCTTCACATTTGGGGTACAGACATGAAAGTGGTATCGATCTTCTCATTCGCAAATCAGAATATTTCCTCAAACAACATCTTGAAGTGAAACCCTGCTTACCAAATAGAAGTAACACTGCAGAGGCACGTCCTTGTTTTCTTCGTCCACAAACAGTCCTCCCATGATGTACAGCTGGTTCTTCTGCGACGCCAGGCTGACGTGGTTGCGCGGCACCTGCTCCGACATGGCGGCCAGGAAGCACTCGTTCTCGGTGACGTCGTACGCCACCGCCGCCGTGTCGTTGATCATCACGATGAAGTCGCGTGCGAACATGCCGTGTCTGCGGTTGTCGTTGAGGAAGCCGGGGAATGGGCTCTCCTCATCCTCGCCTCCTTCCTTGTCGGCCCCCTCCTCCCCCTCCTCCTTCTTGGATTTCTCCGGAAGCTTCCCCTTGAAGGCATCCCTGATGACCTGGATCGTCTTCTGAAGCTCCGGGTCGGCCTTGATGATGTCGTCGGTCTCCACTCTGTCTTTGAAGTACTTCTCGGGCAGCAGGCGGAAGCGGATGCAGTTGAACGCATCCTTCAGGACCTTGGTGCGCTCCTTGTCGTGGCGGACCCAGGCCATGACCGCCTCGAACACCAGCTCCTCCTTCTCCACGTTCAGCGAGTCTCCGCCGATGACAGCGAAGAGCTCGTGGGCCGCCAGCTTGAGGAACTCCTCTTCCTTGTACAGCAGCTCGAAGCGGTCGGCGATGAAGTTGCGTGCAGCCACGGCGAGCCGGGGACAGCTGAGAACCAGGCCCATCCTGAAAATGGCCATGCAGTTACCCAGAGACAGCTTCTTCTGGAGGTAGTTGACACACACGGTGAAGACGGAAGGAATCTGGAACCTGTTGGCCACAGATATTATATCCTGAACGTTGTCATCGGTGAGGTCGATCTCCGCCGAGTAGAGGTACTGGATGATCATGTCCAGGATGGAAGGGTTAACATCGTCCAGGACCACCTCCTTGGTGTTCTCCACCTCCTTCCCATCCTCGGTGAAGAAGATCTCCCTGAAGTACGGGCTGCAGGCGGCCATGATCAGCCGATGGCAGGGGAAGCTTCGGTCGCCCACCTTCAGGGTGCAGTCCACAAACTTGTTCTCGTTGAGCAGCTCCTTGAGGCCGTCCTGGAGCAGGGTGCTCTGGAAGAGGCGCAGCTCCTCCTTGATGGCGTTGGGGTCCATTGTGTGTCAGGAGGGGAAACAGTGGGCGAACAAGGGAGAGAGGAAGGAGACGGCGGCCACAGGTCCTCTTGGCAGTCGGTCCTGGCTGGAAAAGGCAGAGCAGAGAAAAGGGTCCCGGTGTGAAGACCCTGCAATTTAATCCTGTCCCTCTCTAAATATAGCTCCCTCTGCCCCCCGCCTGCCTCAGCGCCCACCGTGGAATCTGACTGGGCCGGATCACAGAGCAGCACAGGCCCGGCTCCAGCAGCTGCTGCCACAGACTGAAGGAAGCAACTGGCTGCTCCGGCTGGGGATCCGCCACCATGATTCAGCTCCCAGGGTGTCATGTGGCCGGCCAGCAGCGGAGACAATGCTGTCAAAACCCTCGAATAGCTCGCTTCCTGCTCAGCGTATGACCCAGAGGATATTCAGAGCAGTCGCTGTCATCTTCTAAAACGTCTGGACTCTTTAATTTAAATCTGATCATCACTCATTCTCCAACTTTTGCCTCCACTTCTTCTGGTCTTTTACTTCCATATATACTGATATCTTTATACTTCCAGTCCTTAGAAACCTGACATGTGGTTTTCTGTAACTAAAGCTCCAGATAATCAGGTTGTTATTTTCATAATCTGCAGCTCGTCTCTAAAAACATTTTAAAGGTGACCAACCAAAGGTCACGGTATCATCCTTAAATGATCAGTTTTATTCAGATCAATCACTAAAATATAAAATTCACTGCAACATATGACTAATAAAGAAAAGCAGAACCAAGCCCAGCCCTCTGACCCGAAACCAGAGAATCAGTTTCTCTCATCAGAATAGTTGCTGAATAATTTTCTGCAGACGTTAGAAAAAAAAAATCCTCAAATGTTCCAGTTGCTATCTGTGAAAATTTCCAACTCATTTCCTCCTCAAAGGGACCACATGAGTAAAAACAAAAGTTATTTTACTCTCTCTTTGTGTAGCATTATTGATGTGACGAGTCATTGTGCTAGAACTGGAGCAGAAAGGTTCGGGTGGAGCAGCAGCTGTGTGCAGGAACAGGTGAGAGTCGCAGCTCTCTCCACCAATCAGCACGACTCTCCCTTTCCCTGTTGTTGTCCAGCTGCTGGTGTGCGTCCTAATGAATGTGCACGCTTCAGTCATGGAGGTAATTTAAGAACTAAGAACATTTCCTTCTTCCTGAGGATAAACGTCTGTTCACAAGTGTTAAAAGTGGAAATCAAACACGACCGCCGCCGCATGCGGATCGATGGCAGCGTGTATTGTGGAGTCTCACTTGTGCGGCCTGATAAAGTGTGAGCAGTGTGTAGAGTTAGGTAACGTTTCTCCCGTGGGCAGCACTAAAGATAGATCAGACTACGCCACTTGTCGAGGAGTGTCTCTCATGTAATTCAAGCAGAAGAGGAGGGCTGGCTCCACCAATCAGAGCCCTGCACGGCCATGAAGCTGCATCACAAAGTTTTGTTTTGCAAATACATGCAGTCAGGGCCCGTCTGAAAATGATTGTTGCAGGTTTTATTGTTTTAAAACATTACATAATTCGTCGAAGAGGAGGGCTGCAGAGTCATTAAAGTTTGTTTTGCAAATACATGCAGTCAGGGCCCGTCTGAAAATGACTGTTGCAGGTTTTATTGGTTTAAAACATTACATAATTAACTGAAGAGGAGGGCTGCACAGTCATTAAAGTTTGTTTTGCAAATTGGTTGTTAGACAAACGTACGTCAAGCAACTGATTTCTGTTTCGCCAAATGTTCCTCCTCACAAGATGATGCTGTTTCTGAATTTTCAAATCAAACTGTATGGATTTAATTCAACGTGTTACTCAGGCGATCAGAACAGAGTCCAGCCCGTCTGCTATTCATGGATGTTTCTCAATCAACTGTCAGGAAATGTTGTCTGACTGCTGAAGTGACTGCAAGTTTTATTGATCTTCTACACATGCCTACATCCCGTCACTGTCCTGTGGAGTCACTGGAGATAGTTTTAACAGTAAACTAAGGCTCCATCCATCCATCCATCCATACGCTGCAATTAAACATGCAAGAAAACTCTTACAATTAATAACCAACAACCCAAACTCCTCCCTGCAACGACTGACCATTTAATTAACCCTGTTTTAGTAAAGCTCGTCTACCAACTCTGAGTCCACTTCCTGTGAACCTTCTGAACCCTTTAGTATTTTACTGACACCCACAGTCAGGACTAAACCCCACAGTGAGCAGTCATCATGGTCCACATCTACTGGATGTGGTGGGCAGCAGGAAGTCTTTATTTTTCAAACTAGAATATCAAGAACGTCCTTTTTTAATTGATTTTTTTAATTTGTCAATTTATTTTCACATTGTAGTGTACTTTTCTATTAATTTCTTTTTGTGCTTTTCTAATTTTGACTGATGCTACCGCTGCTGTTTCCTCGCTGCATCTATTTATGGCAGCATTTATTAAAACTTCACTATTAACATAAACATGGGGGGACTGAGCAGATAATGGAGGTGAGGTGGTTTTATTTTTATATCTACATTCTGTTTGCATGAAATGTGTCATACAAAAAAAAAAAGCCTGATTGATTGATGCTATGCTAACACCAAGCGTCTAAAACTATTTGGTTTCATGGACAAAATAACATATTAATAAAGTTCCTTGTTGACAGGCTGACTGTTGAATCCTACATGAGCTGAAAACACACGGATACAGCAGATTAAATTAATGTTTTAAGTTACAAACATCCTCAGGCAGCGTTTCTGGTAAATACTGAGGAGGAAGAGGAAACTGAAGCTGAGACAGACGAGCGTTTGATTAAACAGCCATCAAGTGGTCGTCTGTTTGCTAAATATTGTAAATACGTTTACAGGAGCGACGCTTTGTTTGCTTTGGTTTGTGTGATCTTCAGAAGTGAGCTGTTGGAAAAAAACGTAAATAAGAAATTCAAAACTTCCTAAATACAACAACTAGCCCTGTGTGATGCTAACCTGGGATCTTATTGTAGTTTTTATAAGGATGATGATGCAGAATAAAGCAGCAGCTGTTAGCTGGTGACAACCTGAAGTCTTTGTTTAGTGTCTAACGGGCGACTTTGTGCACTTTCAATGACAATAAAACAGATTCTGATCTAATTCTGGACTCGGGACAGGCACAAGGTGGCGCTACCATCTACAGGAACCGCCACGTAATTATAATTAATCCTAATTTTATTTGTGTAGCGCTTTTCAAAAACTCAAAGACGCTTTAAGAACAATAAAAGCAACTAATACAAAAGTAGACTAGCAGATAAAAACAACACAAGATGTAAATATGAAGGTTTAAGTGAGGAAAGCAGGTGAGTTTTTAGTTTGGATGTGAAAATGATCCCCCCAGGTTGGGTGCTTGGTCCTGGGGACGATCAGGAGGTTGATGGAGGGGTGGAGCATGAGGTAAGAGGGGGCCTGGTGATGGAGCGCTGTACAGGTGAGTAGGAGGGATGGGAAGCCAGTGAAGGGTTTGAAGGACGGGGTGATGTGGTCTTGGGAGCGGGTGTGGGTGAGGAGGCGGGCGGCAGAGTTTTGGGGATGTTGGTGGTGGAACCAGAAAGGATGCTGCTACAGTCGTCAATGCGTGATGTGATGAATGAGGGAGGGACAGATTGTAATTCAGCTTTCCTGTTTTTTCTGACAGCGTTGGTTCCAACAGCGACAAAACAAAGACAAAGAGCAGCTACTGGACATCCCAGATCTGTGTTCCTCCCTGAAACAGCTTCGACAGACACAGTCGGACTAAAGCGAGTTCCTGCAGTGAAAACAGCTTCCTCCCAGAACATATTGGGTCTTTTAGTAATATTTCCCTGATTAGGATGGAAACACAAAGCTGTGGCGCAGCATTCTGATGAAGCTAATTTGGTCTCTTTTTAAATAAATAATCCAACAAGGGCACGAGGGAAGGCTGAAATAAAATATAAATATGGAGATGGGAGGAGGAAAAAAATATGAAATTAAACTCCTGAAAGTTTACTTTTACCTCAGGAAGCATGAAAAATACAACCCGGTGTCTCTCCTCTGACATGCATGCAGTCCTGTAACATGAACGGGAGACTAAGAGCTCGTTAGTTAAGATCAGGTTTATTAAAAACGTTGAACCGTGTGACGCACAGTCGGTACAGCTGGAAACATGAGGGTGGGTTCTGCTCATAGGGCAGCAGCTGCATGTGTTGGCCAGTAGAGGGCAGTGTGTGTGTGTGTGTGTGTGTGTGTGTGTGTGTGTGTGTGTGTGTGTGTGTGTGTGTTAAACAATGTAAACACAAAACATCACATTATTCATTTAAGAAATCTAAGAGAACACATTCAAAAACATGAAGTTACACAGCAACAGGCTTTATATTTATATATATAAACACAAAACTATATTTCATTGATATAAGTGACGGGAGGCTTCATCTCTGCTGCGCTGCTGCTGCGTTGGTTGATTACACACTAATAGAGAGATTGTTTAGGTAAAGAATAGCTGCAGTTAGTTTTAATGCCACGCTGATTGATTGCTTTACTCTCTAAGGCACCAGAGCTTTTACTGATCAACAAATAAGTCCATCTTTTCACCATCTTCGCAGCACGTACAGATTGTGTATGAAAAAAAACAACAACTATAGCCTGTAGTTGCAGGAACCCCTGGGGGGCGACTAAGAGACTGCAGTGCTCATCTGTATTCCTGAGTAGAAGTGATGGAGGATCTCTGTGCTATTAAGAAAAACAATGGAGGTGTCTGTCCAAGACGTCGCTGTAATTAGAGGAGGATTATTTTTACTAGGAGGAGACAGGGAGCGAGACGTAGCGGTGATATGGAGCACCAGTGTATATGCCTGAGAAGTATTAAAAGAACTTTATGACCCTGTGAAGAATGGCTGGTTCTAGCTGCCCCTCCTTGAAGTCTCTACAGCAGATGCAAGACAGATGCCTTCCCTCAGCCTCCTGGAAACAGAGAGCACAAGAGGAAGTGGATCCTGTTAAACATTTGGTTCCAATAATACTGATACAGCCTCATTATTCCAGCCAAAAAAAGAAAAAAAAGCAGAAAAACGGCGAGGTGTGAATGACATAGAGGGCATTAATATGGGCGAGATGAGTCATGGGAGCGTACCGGTGGATCTGGAAACCACACACGTCCTCTTGCACTCCTCCTCCGTGTCGAAGCGGTTCTTGTTGCCGTTGCAGCCTCCGTACCAGAACTGAGCGCAGGCGTTGGCCTGCTTGTCGTAGTACCAGCGGATGTTGTAGTCCCGACACGTGCCCTGGTCCAGCACCAGGCCACAGCGGGGGTCCAGAGGCACCGTCTCTGCAGGGACACACACATGTCGGGTTACCACTTAATCCAGCTTCGTCGTGGTCGCTACTGCTCTGCTTCAGAAATAATTGGCTCCGTGTTCCTCACCTCGCTGCACACGGTTCTACTAGAAAAGGCCACGACTGTGTCACCTGCACTTTGAACACGCTGGACTGGAGCCTCCCTGGAGACTGAGCAGCTCCATCAGATCACATCAGAAGTGGAAGAAATATTCACATCTTTCACTTTAGTAAAAGAACCATTACAGCAATTTACAACTACGACATCCATCCATCCATCCATCATCTCTACACCGCGTGATCCTCACTAGGGGGGGTGGAGCCTATCCCAGCTGACTCAGGGTGAAGGCAGGTTCACCTGGACAGGTAACCAGTCTATCACAGGGCTACACTTAGAGACAGACAACCAAGCACACTCACATTCACACCTACGGACAATTTACAATCACCAATTAACCTCAGCATGTTTCTGGACTGTGGGAGGAAGAACCTGGAGAGAACCCACGCTGCACGGGGAGAACATGGAGACTCACTGGGACGTGAACCGGCGAAATTCTAGCTGCGAGGCGACGATGCTAACCACTGAGACACCGTGCAGCCCCGATTACTACATGACAAGCAAAAGTCCTGCATGAACCAGCACGAGCAGCAACATACAGGTGAAGTGTTGCAGTAGAAGTCCTGGTTTGCGTCCTCTGACTGACACACGACTACATGTGGCATCATTATGTCACCATCGGTTGCTGCTGGAGCCGCTTTACATTCAGTTTGATTTACAAAGACAGCAGATAAATCTAAACGTTGATGCCTGGATCTCAATCACACCAGCCGACGTATGAAAGTGTGACAGCATTTTATGATTTATTCAGCGTTTAAAACACTAAATTTCCTAATTATATATAATTAGTGGGATGAATGCGACCCCAGCCTGTGGCAGATGGATGTACCAACCGACGCAGGATGATGGATTCACCCAACGTTTTGCTGAAGCCGGCAATTATGACACAATGATTCTTAGCTACTCTGAGGACTGGTGGCGTGATTAACGGGAGAGGAAGGAGCTCTGGTACACAAATCTGTTTCCAGTTTCTCTCCAGTCCTTGATTTTTACTGAGCGATTGGATCATTGGAACGTTTCTGGAAATGAAACCATGTGAGAAGTTTAGAGGGGAAAAAAAAAAAAAGTCAGTGTTTAGTGAAGCTGTAAACAAAACATGTGAAACGTGTCAAGAGTCCACGGTCAGAAGAAACCCAGAAGGCTGGAAACCACCGATATGACCTGGAACTATCTGCTGTTTTAAACTCTTGGTTTATTATCCAGTAGAAAAGGCAATATTTGCATCTGAAGTTGAATGAGTAGCAGACAGTAGAAGTACACCAACTGAGCAAATGTACTTTGGTCATTTGCACCACTGCTGTTGGATCCCATGGTCCTGATTCTGACAACCTGTAAGGGAGGATCCACAGATTTCTCTCTTTCCACAGAAGGACCGAAGCCTCCAGAAGATTCAACAAACGAGTCTGCAGAGAGGAAGGGGCACGTTCCTCTCGCTCAGTTCACTCTTGTTCATTTAGGTCGTATTTAGCAAAGACGGTGATGTTTCAATGGGCCTTTGGTGTACACGAAGCTACAAGTCACCGAAAACAGTGTGCGACCATGTTTGCTATGTCCATATACTTGGACTGATGGTCAATATTTTCAAGTATTTCACTTGTTTCGTCCTCTAACACCACCTTCAGGAGCAGCTCCACTTCTGTCGGTCCAAACTAATGACCCTCGCGCCATTATCGTTGAAGTAAGAGGAAGTAATTTGTGCCATTCGTTGTTGTCTTTTTTCCAGGATTCTGACTGACTAGATGGCTTCTCATTATGCTTCCCCCTACAGGTTTGGCAGCTCATAGCAGCTCTTAACGACGAGTTTGTGTAAACTCAAATTTTTTGAAAACGATCTGGTGTGAACAATGTTATTCGTTTTTGTGAATACCGGCTACGTGTAGACATGAACTTAGACTAGGATTTGTTGTTGTTGTACTGATTTGCTTGGAGTCTTGTCATCACACAGGAGCTGTCCATCAGGAGAGATCACTGCCAGCTTTTAGGTCCTTTCCCAGAATCCTCCCTGATTGGACCAGACCTCAGATGACGGGTATATAAAGCCAGGAGAGGTAACAAATGGGTGGTTTTTGGGGGGATTTTCATTGAATAATTTTTCCAAACCTTTTCCCCAAACAAGACCTATAGCTGTATCTTGTTGGGATTATTGTTGTTTTGTTCATTTTTGTTGTTGTTGTTGTTGACCTGAGCTCAAAGCCTGCGTTCTGATCCTTCCTTCCACTACAACAAATACCTTCACTTCCGTCCATTAGCGGGAACATTTCTCAGGTTGCAGCATCCTGATTATTCTCAGCCACAATCTCCGAGCGTAACAACCCGTCTGCAGTTGTTCCTGAACGTTCAGTAACAACTACCGCTGAATAATAACTTGATTTCCGCTATAATCAAAGTTTGTTTTCATCCCAGCTCCTGATTGTTGCGTAAGAGGAAATAAAAATTGAGCACCGGTGATTGAGGGCAACGCTGCAGAGAAGCTGTCTTCACTGTTCACTGTTAGTGTAAGAATTCAGCCGTCTGACTTCAGGCTAACGGCAGATTGTTTTTTTTCTCGCTCATATGTGACAGAACAGCACAAATGATGTGGATCTTTTCTATGCTGATTGGGCCACTGTTGGTCGTGGTTGTAAATCACAAGCGGGTTGGGCTTTTTCAGTGTGAACAGCTGTATTTAAACACATGTGAATTAATGCAGCTTTACGTCACTGCAGCAGACGTCCTGCTATTTGGGAGAATATGTGTTCTAGTGAAGTCAGTCACAGCTGCTTATTTTCTAAACAATGAATCGATCAGTTGTTCCGTCTAAATGTGGCTCAGTGTTTCCCAAAACCCAAGATGACGTCCTCAGATGTCTGGTTTTGTCCACAGACAGTCGGTTTACTGTCACAGACGAGGAAGAACCCAGACAAAAGCAACACATTTAAGAAAATACGATCGGAGAATTGAGACTTTTATGATGAATAAATGCTCAATCCAGTGAAATAGTTGATAACTGATGGATTGACTGTTGCAGTTTAATCTGGGATCTGATATTGGCGGCTACGATGAAGCTAAAATCCTGTTTGACTTAGTCAGACCTGGAGGTTTGATTCATCCTGTTCCTGCATCACTCAGAGGAAACAGCTCCTTGTGGTTGTTGTCCTGTGTTGATGGTGCTTCTCTGAGATTACTGTACAACTATTGAATCTTGAAGGCCGCCCTGTTTTGTGACTGTGAGAGAAATTTTCTCTTGAGAAGAACCTTGCAAACACAAAAGCACAGCGGCGTGTTGGAGTGGATGTACCTTTGGGCAGAGCCGGCCTTGGTACAGGAACGTGCTGCACAGACACACTGGAGGACGACGTGGTTATATTTGTAGAGGATGAAGATGATGAGGAGCCTCGGCTGCTGGACGAGTCCACTCTGGACGTAGGGGGAGGACTGTAGTCCGAGGTGTTGCGGTTAAATGTGTCCCCGCGCTCGGTTCCCCAGGTTGTCGTTCCTGTGGTCGGCTGCTGCCGTCCTCCTCCCTGCTGAAGAAGGAAACAAGTGGTTGGAATGACGTTTGTGTGAAATACATGTGTCTGTGCTGTCGTGTTCCCTACTTGTGTTGTGCTGGAGCCTCTGCCGCCCTGCTGGGGGGTCTCCACCCGGCCTCCGTGGCTGTGAGTGCTGGCGCCAGTGTTGCCGCCGTTCTGTCGGCCGTTGTGTGCGTCCTGCTCGGTTACAGGCCTGTACCCATAGCCACCGATGGCGTAGTTCCCATTGAAGCCGTTCCTGTTGCCGTTGTAGCCATTGTTCCCGTTGTAGCCGTTAGTTATTCTGTTGTATATCAGGGCTCCGTTCTCGTCCTCACAGAACTGGCTCACCAACTTGGATTCCAGAGCTGAGACACAAAGAGGAGGACGTACAGGACGAAGTAAGTTAGTGCGCTTTAGCCAAAGGTTGCCCAGACACACACTGGGGGAATTCTTTAGAGACGGATGGATTTACATTAACACACACACACACACACACACACACACACACATACAGGACGAATTCTAACCATTTTTGTAGCATAACTTCCTCTAAAGCCATTATTTAAACCCCCAGAACCCATCTTTGTTTATCAAATGCATATATTCATAAGTTTTTAAAATGCCTTCGATGTAACCGTGTAAAGTCACATCTACCCTGTTGCTTCCTCTTTTTTTTTTAGCATACAAATAGTCAACATAGTTCACGGACAAATACACAGATATGAGTTAATCTTCACTTCCACACAGCCCTGAGGCCAAGTAGTACGTTGAAAAGAATATTTATATGAAAACCAGGTTGAATAGATGAATAAACTGTGCAGATGGATTCGACTTCCTGACCGCAGGCGATATTAAATAATAAATTATCAACATGTACAGAATGTTAGCTGCTTGTTTGAAAGCTGTTGACATGTAGTATTGCCAGTCCATGTGCTCAGTTTATTAATAACTCCCTTCCTAAACATGCACAGTTTAGTAATCTCTTCACATGGATTTGTATTTTTTGTCCCTGTAAATACCCACTGAGCTGTTCCTACCTGGCAGAGTGTTGAAGTCGTCGATGAGGAACATGTGCTCAGAGTCTGGGTCGGAGGCGATCAGGTTCAGCTCCCTCAGGAACTCGGCCTGCGTCGGGTCCGAGGTGTTCACGATCCCCAGAGCAAACATCTCAATGTTGGCAGCGTGTGCTTCTCGCACCGCGATGTCCAGCTTCACCGGCTCCCGCTTGTCCGTCTGCCCGTCGGTGATCACGATGGCCACTTTGCTGACGCCCACCCGTGAGCTGTAGAAGGCCTCCTGCGTGGCTTTGCGGATGGCCGTGCCGGTGTAGGTGCCTTCCCCCATGTATGGGATGTTCCTGATGGCCTGCTTGATGTCCTGCTTGGTGACATAGCGGGCCAAGTTGAACACCAGTCTCACCTCCAGGCTGTAGAGGACCAGGCCGATCCTGGTGGCGTTGCGGCCCACCGTCACTCGGTCCACCAGGGCGTTCACAAAGTCCTTGATGATCTCAAAGTTCTCTGGGCCCACGCTCTCTGAGCTGTCAATGACAAACACCAGCTCCATAGGCCTCTCCTTACACTTGATCCCACATCCTGGAATCACATCACACCAACACATGAGATCATGGCTGAAATGTCACATTGACGAGGTTCAGCCTGGAATCGGATCTAACGGTTAGCAGATAAGACGAGACAGTTGCTTAGATTGAGAAACGTAATCGTCTCCTATAACATTTAGTCAATACTTAGAAGTGAAATAAATACGGCAAAGATCAGAAGATACTTTACCACAGATCTCTTTGATCATTCGGATGATGTCCTCTCTCTGAAACGAATACATCGATACAAGATCAGCACATAGACGGGAGAAGTAAGCGATGAAAACGTAGATGAAAAGAACAAATACTCACAGTGAGGCCTGCTTCACCTTTGATACCTTGCCGACCCTGTGTGGACCCGAAGATTAAATGGAGACAAAAAATATCCTTAAAGTGCCATCACTAATGTTGGGTTGAGTAGCACATGTTTCTATTTAATCCTTTACACTAACTATGAAGGTTTAAGCTCTGACAAAGCAGGACACAACAAATCAACACATAAAAACATCAGCAGTGTCACTCACAGGCTGCCCGGGGATCCCAGAGTCTCCCATGTCTCCTTTGATTCCCTTCAGCCCCCTCTCCCCCGCTGAGCCTCGGTCACCCTGTTTGCACATCACATGACAAATCATCAGCGACCACAACATCACGAAACGCTCACATCCTCATATGACGACATAGTGACTGACTTTAGCTCCAGGAAAGCCTTCTCCAGGCAGCCCCCTCGGCCCTGCCACGCCCTGGGACCCCTGCTCGCCCTGAATCAAGCACAGACATCAGCAGTGTTGTTAAAGCAAACCGATGCAGACACAGGTATTTAACTTATATACTCTTCATGAGATTGCTGAGACATAAAAAACAACAAGACCTGTTAGACTACATTCACAGATTTCTATAGGCAGGACTACAAATCATAACCTACCTTTGGTCCTTGAACTCCTTGTCCTTGTGGCCCTGTTGGCCCCGGTGGACCAGGTCGCCCTGGGTTACCCTGCGAGTCAAAGGAACTTTATTTGTATAGCATCTTCCATCAGCAGCTCAATTCATAGAGCTTCACATGTGACACCAAACAGCCAAGCTGAATGTTGTGGAGTGGCTCCGTCCTGCCCTTGATCCAGCTGAGAAGTTGTGGCTGGATATGAAAAGAAGTGTTCACTCATGATCCCTGTTCAACGTGTTGACAGAGCTGGAGCAGCTTCGCAAATAAGAATTGAAAAAAAAAAATGTCCAGATGTGCAAGACCGATTGAGACCGACCCACACAGGCCAAAGGTGCATCTCATAAACACTGACTTGAAGGAGGTGAACGCTCGTGCAATCACTTAATTCAGGTTTTATACTTCTATTTATTTGACATTACTTTGCAGAAATCTGGTTTCAGTTTGACATGAAAGAGCCTCATTAAAATGACCATTAGTCAATGTTGGAAAGCAGTAAAAAGAACACTTTCAAGGGGAGAGAATACCTATAATAGGTGCTATTTATATATATGTAGGGCTAATCTGGCCTGTTGCAGACACCTGTGAAACCCCTGAGAGTCGGCCAGCTCTATTAGAAGACCATTAAAGTTTATTTTAACTCCAATGAGCTCAGTTCTTGCAAACAGGTTTGTTAACAGGTGAGAGCTGCAGGTATGTGGCTGCCTTAAAGGTGAGAGGGTGCTGGAGAAAACATAAAGCGACATTATGAAATACTGAACTGTTATTAATATGAATCGTTTCGCTCTGATATGTTGTTGTTCCTAAAAGCTTCCTGCTTGACCTTTGATAAAACCAAATTAAAGAAGAAATGAATTCATGAAAACATCTGGAGTCCTGATGAACTGACATACAAATCTATTAATTACTGGAATAGATTTCCAGAGTGACTAAACTTCATAATGTGGACAATATAATCCAGGCATGTATGACACACGTGTGTAATCTTTAATTCAGCTTTAAGCGGATTTATAATGAATAATCTGCTCCAAGGTTATCTCTTCTATAAAACTAACTCATGAGTGTCTGACATCCTCTTCTCTGCAGCGTGGATGAATCCTGATGTCTGTCAATGTGATCTGCTTCCACATTTCTTTTTTGTGGGGGGGAGGGATTTGACAGCTTTCGTTGAGTCCTCAATTAAATCTTGCCTACGCTGCATGACTGCGACAGCGCTCGGACCTGCAGAAACACTGGTCTGAAGCCTGCGGGGAGCCTGGATGTGATATGTGAGGACATATGGGCCGCTGGGTGTTGTCTCGGCGCAGCCTGTTAGGCCAAGTGTTTCTCATCAGACACATATGTCTGTGGAGATTCACACTCTGCACCCATGTGTCAGAGTGCTGAGGGGAAAATCGTGATAAATACCCTGAACAAACGAACTGGCAGCCTTTGACTATCAGACCTCTGTGGGGGGCATGTTTGCACACAAGACGAAGAACTTTTTTCTTCATCTATAAATCTTTAGAGAATACGACCCAATCAAGCCCATCTGCTGGTATGTCACATAAAATTAAGACGAGCTCCCTGCGTAAGTAAACACCTTCGAATGTCGTCCTTGACTCATGTTTGCAAAAGCAGAACACAGTCGCTGTGTTTTACGAGCTAAACAACACAGATTAAGAGTCAAATTGGATGTCGTTTTAGTCAGAAATAATCACAAATCTGAAAACAGTAACGGTTTGAATTTACCAGCGGTCCTTGAAGGCCTTCGCCTGGAGGTCCTGGTAAACCAGGCAGCCCTCGGAAACCAATATCTCCCTGCGAAGACAGAAACCCAGCGAGGACATGTGAACATTTGGAGCACAGCAATTTACAATCCATCAAACAAATGAACTCCTGGGCAAAATGCTGTTTCCTTTAATTAACTTCCCCAAAACAAATGACCTCATCTTCCACTGGGGAGATGCTCTGACTCATCTTCAGTGGAGATTTTAACGCTGCTTTGAAAGCGATGTGACCAGTGATTGGTTCGGCCAAATTTTAACAACAGAGAAAACATTTAGCAAAAAACAACAACTGTGAACCATATCTGTACCATATTAGGTTACACAGGAGTCCAATCTGGTTTTAGAACACGTTAATTATAAAATGCTAAAATGCTACATGCTAAAAGCTAAACGCTGAACATTTCAAAGGATATACATTTATTTGCACACATAACCAAACTTCCACTAATGCTGCAGCTCTAGAACAGAGAGAGACATCACTTTTGTTTTTTAGTTTTTTTTGCCACAAACATCCACTTTTATCTTACAGCTTTACATTCCCACCTTTGGTCCAGGGATGCCCAGTCCTTCCGGTCCAGGTTCTCCTTGGAGTCCGGGCAGACCAGGAGGACCCTGAACAACACAGGACACGAAGGTAAAACAGTGGAGATGCAGAAATACTGTAGAACAACATCAGCGAGAAAGTGTTTTGGTGCAACCAGCAGTAATCACACAATCCAAACGATAAGAAGTGGAAAATAAACACAATATTAAACACACACACTAGTGAGGATGAAGTGGTGCACAGATAGTGGATGGATTAATGAGTTAATTAGGTGTAAGTTCCATGGCAGCAAAGGATAAAATGGTTACTGAGTCTACTTGTGCTGCATGTTGGCGGATTGCAGCAGCAGTAATGTGACTCTATGGACGGGGGGGGAGGCCTAACCCTGCACAGATGAGAAAGGTCACTCAAGGTCACAATGTTGCTGCATACCTGGATGACACCCCGTCCATCTGTGACCATTTTTGAACAACATATACAGTTTGCTCCTGGTCTTGGTTAAGGAAAACATGTTCAGGAGACGTGCAAAGGCCAACTACTGCAACTTTTGGTCATAAAAGTCTCACTGATTGATGGATGGCTGGAACCGATGGGCAGAACGTGGAAGACAAAAGGCAGAAGGACGGACGTACAGATTTATGAGTGGAAAGATGAGCAGTGTATAAATCAGTTCCTCACCATGGGGCCAGGATAACCATCTCCTTTGGGACCAAATGGCCCTGCAGGGCCCGAGTCTCCTCGATCACCCTACAGAAGACAGACACATAGACGTGGATTTAAGAGGACACACGTGCTTTCTGTTCGGTTGCCTGCTTCTGTATTGTAACTATTTTGCAAATTTCTTAAAACATGGGAAGGTTAAAACACATGCTGCAGCTGAAATCCTGAACCGACGCTGGCGTCAGGACAGGATGTGGGGAACAGTTGTGCTTCCCCTTCTCTGACATCTTCTCAGTTCTTTGTAAATGTTGGGAAATGGCTTTTCTGATGAAAGCGTGCGCCATGTGCTGCTGGATCTGCCTCCCATTACGCTCATTTGATAATTGATTTTCCAAACATAGACCGCTCAGCTGTGACAACATGTTTGCACTTGTTTATTAAAGATCTGAAGCCGTGTGTGTTTCTCCAGGCAGGCGTCCAGGACGAACACAATCAGCGTTACCTTTGGACCAGGAAGTCCGTAGCCAGTCTCCCCGATCGGACCAGGAGGACCGCTCGGGCCAACGTCTCCCTAGAAAACAAAGCATTTAAATGAAGCGGTGGTGGGATGTAATTCTGCACTTAGTTTGGAGTAATTTCCCTCCAGTTATGCCACTTTATGCTTCTACTTCACTCCGTTCCAGAGGGAAATACTGCATAACACATTTATTTACCCGCTGTAGCCACCAGTGAGTCTGCAGATTGTTTTCCTTCTAAACGTCTCACAGTTTCCTTTATATAAATTTTCCAATTATCCTCAGCAAATATCAGCAAAAATTAGAGGACTGATTTGTGCATCAGAACTTTACTTTTTCTTCTTTCCTGTTCCATTAGTCGTGTTAGGAGGCCTCACATTCATTAAGTACTTTGAACCAGCTCCTCCTGCTACAACCTGCTGCTGATGCTTCACCATCTAATAATACATCAGCCAGAGAGGCCAGACCAGGACATTTATACTGATACCTCAACTACATTCTGCTGCTAATACTTGCATTTTGGGGTCACTATGACAAGAACCTATGGTGACTATACTGCCATGGAAACTGAACTTTGGGCCTCAGTCACATCCTCCACCCTCCCTGCTGCCTCTGGGTTAATCCAGGTTAATCCTATAGCAAGAATTTGATTATAAATAGTTGAAAATGTGCATCATTAAAGCATAATATGGACAGAAATCAAGTTAAAGACAATAAAACTAGGGTCAACACTGGACTTCTGAATGAGAAAATAATGCAGCAGCCACTTTAAAGCAGAAAAAACAACATTCATCTTACCAATGAACAGCTGATTGCATTGGATTAGACAGTCACTTGTTGCTGCTATAAGTGAGCTATTGCTGGACCATATTCCAGCACTGTTCAGACTTTACGGTTGCACATTTGCATACCAGTGTGTAGTTAACAATCGCTGTCACAATATTTGACTGTCGCTACATGATTATGGTTGTCAAATGAAGGCACAGTAATGATAATATTCAGACATCAATCAAATATTGAACCACTTCTTTTATACGTGCAGATCTACCGTCTCTCATCCGTCGTCTCCACCAACATGCTTTTGTCACACTGTGGTTGTAGCTGGTTAATGGGTTTTCTTCTTTTTTCCATTTTATGGTAGATGTGTATCAACCACAGAGACACTAGTGCTGGATTATTTACTTCTATGTATGATATGTGTGTTATTAGCACAATATCAACATTTAATTTTTGACATATCTTTGTTATTATCAGTACCACGATGCCCAGGATGGTTTGGGGCATCTCCACAGTGCAGCTGGTCGTTATCATCAGTAATTTACTTGTAAAAAGCCAACAAGGTGTTGCTATGTTTACGTCGTACGTTTAAGTTTTGCTGCAGAAGTCGAGCCTCTAACCTGGCTGCAGTGCAACGTGACGTCACTGCTGGAAGACTTCAAATGTTCAACCAAACGGGGACTCAAGTCAAAGATCTGAGTGCTACTTTAACCGCTGCTGACGTCCCATCACTGTGAATTCACTGATCACTGTCTCCACTGTCTTCATATATTTGACTCTAAAGCAGCTGTTTAAAAAAATCCAGTTTTCTTTTGACAAAAAATAATCACATCTTTGGCAATGATCTAAATAATCCTTACTTCTTTCATAAAAACATGTAGGAAACATAACAGGGTTTCATCGTTTTATTGGGTAACTTGGTAGAAATGAGAACCGTTACCTTGGGCCCATTGACGAAGCGTCCTGGTGGACCAGGAGAACCCGATCTGCCTTGTGCCCCTGGTTCTCCCTGATGAAAACGAATACAAACCAAGTGGTTAAAGTCGTAGGTAATCTTTCCTCATCATCCCCAACATTTATTCACACCCACAAGGCCACAGACAAGGCTTCAGCTGCTGACCTTTGGTCCCGAGGGTCCGGCGATGCCAGGTGGACCAGTCAGCCCTCGTATTCCTCTCTGGCCTTGGTCACCCTTTAGAGTCACATTAGAATACAGTCAAAGATCCAACAGCTGTGACCTACTCAGTTATCACTTATTACATTCAGGTCAGAAAAGGCCGACCGCAGGACATGAAAACAAAGTGATCAGGAAACGTTGCTGGTCGTCACCTTTTCGCCCTGGGTGCCGAGTCCAGGTGCCCCCTCGGGTCCCCTGAGGCCGACAGCTCCCGGCTCGCCCTGAACACACACAGAACCGTACACATGCTGACTGCCTGTGATCGCTTACAGAGGAGTGACACTGGTGCAAACAACCTTCAGACTACCTTCTGTCCAGGCGCTCCGTCCTCCCCCGGCAGCCCCGGTAAACCCGACATCCCTTGTGATCCCGGCTCACCCTGACGAGTGATGTGTAGATTAGTGTCAGTTTATGGAGGGAGGACTTTACATTACATGGATGTGGGTTTTTACTAAAGACCAACCTTAGCTCCAGGGTCTCCAGCCCCTCTTTCTCCTGGGGCGCCAACCTCACCCGGCAGCCCCTGGTCACCCTGTAAGACAGCAAGTCATCGTAAGAAGAAGAAGACGAAGACAAAGAAGAAGACAAAGAAGAAGACGAAGAAGACGACGTATGTATCTCACAACAACTTGCTCCACTATACACCGTTTGTGTTTTGCACAAAGGACTGAACAGTTTTATGTTGTTGACAGGATCTGAACGGGATATTTGTGGTAAATTTTTATACGAAACACAGAGAATGACATTTTTATCACCATTTTCCAGATGAAACTGTGCATCACATATGATGAACTCAAGGACTGTTGGGAAGCAGAAAATCCAGCAGTGCTGCATTCTTACAGTTTCTGGCTGACAAATGGGGTCATTTGGTGATTTTTTTTAAAGATAACATGCTTCAGTCGGGAAAGGTTAATGGCTAGCTTGCAGGCTGCTGCAATTCATCAAAAAGCCAAGCGAGCAGTCGCTGCGTTATATCAGCTGCTGGTCTCACCTGGTTTGCATGGACACGTGAAAGTCAGTTTGTGGTGTGACCACTGCATCACTGTGGGCCTTATTTGCATCAGATCTTCATTATTCACCGTCATGTACAAACCTTGGGTCCGATCAGGCCCTCCCCTGGTGGGCCTCTGCTCCCTGGTGGCCCTCTGGGACCCTCTGTGCCCTGCAAGGATAAATAAGTGTGGGAATAAAAAAGAAGGCTTCTTTTAAAACGTTGAAAAGTGGATGGTTGAGGAGCTGTTAAGGTCCAGTTTGTTATCCTGCTAACGTCTTCATATGGTGTTTTAATAGGATGTGCAGAACCTAGAATCATGTTTTGATAGTAATTAACTTGTGTTTCTGTGTCAGTGAAGTGATATCTGGCTCAGCTCTCATCAGGAAACATTCTCCACTGATGCCGTGCCAAAACATGCACAGTTATGGAGCCTGTTGCTTGAATTACGACCCCTGATCAGTCAGGCCGACCTCATACATCACCGGCATCATCTAATGTAATTGCTGTTTTGGTTATTTGAAATTACCGACCAAGGCAGAAAGTATGAAAGCAAAAAGCTGGTGCTTCTTCCCAGTTTAACTGTCTTCAGCTGTAGCCTTCAATTTAGTTGTAATAGCAGTAATTTAGTAGCTCTGTGTTCAACCGGGCTGCGATTGAGCCGTCATGCTAACCGTTGTGAGGCTGTACTTCAGCACGGAGGTGGTTTAAGGTGAATGCTAATGCCAGTATGCTAACATGCAGGTATTAGCAAGAACACTGTCCACTCTGGTCACCGTCTTAGCTTAGCATGTTAGCATTTTAGCATTAGCTACCAAATGCTAAACACACAACACAGCTACGGAGGGTTAGGAGTGACATTAGTTTGGTAGGCCAAGATGATTATAATTTATTCTATGAGGGACATGTGTGTCATCTTTCATGGCAACCAATCCAGTACTTCTGGTGTTATTTCAGACTTTAGTTTGAGGTGCTTTGGGGGCATTTCAGTTCTTGATAGATGTAGAGTAAATGTCTTCTGCTCTCCGTGATGATTTTGGACCAGTATTGCTGCTCGAATCTGGAAAAAATCTCCTCCAAATCCCTTCACACAACTCACAGTGCGCTGAATCTTGAACATGTCTGTCCGTTAATGCGACTGTGTGCAGGTCAGACTTGAGCCATGTTGGACGTTAGATGGTCCAAGCCAGTGAGATCGCTGTGGTGACTTTAATGGAAAAGCTAACGGTCAGATTTAAGCGGTGCATGTCTGAAATTGGTCAGAAGGAGTTTCCATTTATCTAGAGTTTCATTTAGAAATTTCACAATTCTTCATGCATTGCCTTGTTACGTTAAAAACTATGCCGACTATGACGCTTACATTCAGCTGAGAATCCGAACTTGAAAACCTATTGTTGTGTAACTTGAAGTCTTGTACTTGCCTTCTCGCCCTGTATGCCGACTCCTTGGATGCCGAGGGGCCCTGGAAGACCTGGAGGGCCAAAGTCCCCCTACAGGTGCAGGTAAGAATAGACATTAATGATGACAGCATATACGTTATAGTATGATCATATTGAAATGCCAGCTTGATTTACTGCACGTGGAAAGCACCCACCTATAAAAGAGTTTGCCAAGAACCTTTGCATTTCCTTTTGTAATGAACATATACGGTTTTACTGCATCGCACGAGTCCGTTCACGCAGTTAAATCTTTTTATATACATAACTTGATGACATTTTGCATTTTATTTACCGTCTTCCATCCGTTACATGCAACCCTGACATCACATGTGGATGCACAGAAAGCCCTGCAGGCACAGGTTTGTCATTACTACATGAAAACAGAGCAATTATCGGTGACGAACTTCACCACAAGGCTGCACTAAAACTGTCAGCAAGATCTGTGACAGGAGCACCCACGTAAAGCTCCGTGTTTTCAAAGGCCTGTGTTTTCGGTGGTGAATGATTTCAATAAACGCCAAATGTTAACGTCGCATTCCACGGATGTGAGGTATATTATGTAATGTTAAAAGTCTTTTAAAAATCAATGCAGCGTTTCCGAGTTGTGTCCCCGTCTGTGTCTGTGAGCTAGAAGACTGCCAGATGGCTGCAAACACATCCTGAAAGATAAAAACCTTCGTGTCTATGTCTGACGGTGCCAGTGAAAAGATAACTTTCCCACATTCATCAGGCGAAACCATGAAGCTGCTCTCCTCCTACACTATCCAAGCTTTAACCTTGATTCATCACCTGTAGACTGTGACCTCCTATATAACACCGCGCTGAATGCATTCATCTGTGGATCTGCCAACTCTTGGCCTTTTTCGCAACAGGATTCTGGCTTTCTCTTCATGCCTGTGTGAAGGCTTTTCAGCCGGGCGCCTTATTTACAGCCTCTCTGTCCTCTACCTTGTCTCCTTTGATTCCAGCGCCCGGCTGTCCTCTGGGCCCCCGTGGCCCCTCCAGTCCTCGCTCTCCCTGTGAAGGCAGAAGGAGAAGTCATTGCATTTTGACTCTTGAAATATTGGTTTAATGTATGACAGCAATGGCAAAGTGAGAACATATGCAGCACAGCAGAAAACGTCTCTTTAACGGTCTCTTTGATAAAAGCTGCAAAAAGGACAGGTCGGAGGAAGGCAAAATCTGATTTTACTCTCACATAATCTGATATCCACATAAATCACAGAAAACCAAATGTTGCACAACACTGTAGTCAAGGCGTGGGGGGTTGAGGATCCGACTGAAGTCTGGTGAAAAGAAATATGAAGTTCTAGTTTATGTTGACGTCTCCATTTCAAGCTTCGTGTGACGTAAAGCAGACAGAAACGCTTTACTGTCATATGGTTTCACTACAGAAACCAACAAACGCGTTGAAGTCACTGCGAGTTATTTGAAGTTTCAAATCCGACTTCTGAGACGCCTCCAAATGTTTTCCTGCTTGTTATTTTCTCTCAGACTTTTACTGTATAACCCGATTGATTTATCTGTATCAGCCAGTCATTAGACGGCTGTTTGAACATTCCTCTTCTCTCTCTGGAACGCCAGTTACATATGAGTGATTTGTGGCGTCATGTATAGGGGACTTCATCGCCTCATACAGTCAAACTGCATGCGAGCGCGATGTGGACGCACCTCTGGAGCGCTCAGCTGGAAACGTCTGTTGTAGCTCTGGGCTAAACATCAGTGCGCCAACATGCTCACAATGAAGCAGGTAGCAGGGTTTAGCATGTTTAGCATGCTTTCCTCGTCCATGTGACGTAAATTCTGTTGCCTAACCGAGGCTGCAATGACAGATTCTGGCATGTGGCCCAAATGTTTTGACCATGTGGACCGTGTGCACATGCTGCAGGAAAACATTTCTATGTAGTATGAAGAGTCCATACGAGGGATTTCTCCTACATGTTTAGAATTTATCACTAAAACAACTGAAGAAGTAGCTGCAGGACTTTGGGGGTGCTTTGATTTGAAGCTCCACACTTTCCAGCCACAGAGCTCAGACATGATGAGACGTTCTAAACTCTGCACAAGTCTTGTTGGGAAACTGCTGAACGCACCTCAGAAATAATCCCACTGACACTGATACAGTCTGATCTGCAACCAGCTGCTATAGGGTTGGGTTTGGTTAAACCGTCTCGATGCCTTCACCTGCTTTGTCCGGCAGTTTGGGGTGGGTAGCCAAAGGAAATGCACCACGTTTGTCATGGTTTGTGCCACATTATTTCCCCGCGGAGGTTTGGTTTTCGATTTTCTCCGTTTGGTTTGGGTTTGTGCTCTTGACTAGAGATCGTGGTCTCCTTTTGGGCATCTGTGTCTGAATTTTGTCTTGTGGTTGATTAATACACTTTTCTGGTCACGTTGTCTCGGTTAGTGCCATATTGTTTCCCAGAGGGGGTTTTGGTTTCTGACTTTTTCTGTTCCGTTTGGGTTTGTGCTCTTGAATGAAGATCGTGATCTCCTTTTGGGCCTCTGCCTTCAGACTCGGTCCCGTTTTTCTTTGGTGGTTGATTGATACGTTTCTTTTAGTTCCGTTGTCTTGGTTGGTGTCACACATTTTTCCCCGAGGGGTTTGGTTTCTGATTTTTTCCGCTAGGGTTAGGAAGAGGTTAGGGTTGGGAAAAGGTCACGATCTTTCACTGTCTGCTTTCAGCGTCTGTTACGTTATCGTTATTGGCTTTGCAGGTCATAATTTTTGCCTTGTTGATTCATTCATCAGACAGTGATGGCTCAGTCTGGACCAACAACCCAACACTTTACCAACCTAGAGCTGCATGTGTGGCAAAAAATAACATAAGTTTGGCATTTTGCAAAGTCACCCTCTACTGTTGTCACATTCAGATATTCATGTTTAAAGAGCTGTGCAGCATCCCTCATTTCTTCTTTCTCTGGTATGTTAATTTATTCATGCATGAATAAGCTGTAGGAGTTTCACAATATTTGGACATATTGGAAGGAAGGATGTTGGGGATTTGGCCATAAACCAAAAATACTGACTTCATTTAAATATGAATTTGATGACAGTGAAGAAATAGTTAAACAGGAAAGTTATTGCAGTTTATTCTGAAGTGGAGGATAACTTCACAGCGGCTAAAGTAGAAGTCTTCATCATCATCGTCTGGGCGCTGTGAAGCTCAGGACCAAATTTCCTGCCAATTTATCAAGTTGTTGTCGAGATATACAAGTTTGTGATGCACTAATACGAGTCAATAATATTCCAGTCAGGCAGTTGTGAGGATGATGTCGGCTAAATAAAAGACAGTTTCTGAATTCCAGCTTGTGTCCAAAGTCAGCGCCCTTGTTGTCAGTTTAAAGCTCCGGTTCAGTTCAGACTGTAAAGAACCCGTCCTGTTAGAATGAGCTCGGCTTACAGTTCCAGATAACGCAGTGAATCAGTGCCTATCGAGGTGTCTTCCAGCCTGTTCAGTAAAACTTTTATCGGACAGCTGCAGTAGCCGTCACAACTGGACCGGTGCAGCACACATGGTTAGAATCAGCCTTAAAGCAACATTATCTTATATGGCTGTCACATGCTTGTTTAGCTGCAAATAAAAGATAATAGTGCAAACTGCAGAGCGGTGCTGTGAACTGTTCATAGAGCAAATCCTTCTGAAGCACCTCAGTCTGCATCTGGACCAGAGATCAAGTCAGTCCAGACCTGGACCACATCTCATGTTATCAATAAAAGTTAGTAAATGTTCAATAAATGCTTATGATTTGGCTTTTTTCTGTTGTTGTCATGATGATGTTAACTGCTGGGGTGTTGTTCCTGCTGTGTTCTGCATGAACCTTACATCAGCTCCTAAATCACAGATAGAGGATGCATTCGTTTTTCTCCACGACACAGTTTCTACAACTGGTGTTCAATACGTCTGAACAAAAAAGGTAAACATGGACCAACTATCTGAGCCCAGTTTCAGCTGGTCCGTCAGAGTTCAGGGGTCACACTGATGCTACCTACGGTGCCATCGCTCCCACTTGGCTCGAGTGTCTAGACTGTGAGTTCCTTAAAAGTTTTTAACAAGCTGATTAAATGTTAAAATCCAATGTAGACCTCTGGGTTGAGGCAGACGGCCACCCTTCCTGAGCCTGGTTCTGCTGGAGGTCGTTGGGTTTTCTGTGAATAATTTTGCAAGGCATTAAGCATCAATTTAAAATTAGCCAGGTAAAGTTGTATAATATGTATTATTGTCAGGTCTTAACCTTTAATATTTCTTTATGGAGGCAAATGTACTTCGACAGGTCATCAGTCCATCAGGGGGCCAACGCAGAACCACCGAGCATAGTCACACTCATGGCCAGTTTTAGAACCAGTCAACCTCAGCATGTTTCTGGACTGTGGGAGGAAGTCTGAGAACCCGGAGAGAACCCACACTGCTCGGGGAGAACATGGAGACTCCACGCAGACTAAGATTCAAACCCAGGACCTTCAAGCTGAGAAGAATACACCCATATCTAAATGAGTCCCATAAATAGTACTGTAGGGTCTTAACCTTAAAATATATACTGGGTAGGTTCTTTCAGCACGACAATCCTTGAGAACCGCTGATCTCCAGTTTGCAGAACAAACTAAGCTGCTGATCACCTCAGACCAAATCCACTTGCAGCACTACAGGCCTGAACTCAGCCAGAGTTTGTTTCACGTCTTATGAATCAGTGTTTTTAAAAACACAGAAAAAGCAGGATTAGAAAATCAGTGAGGGATCAGAGCAGGAATCCAGGCTGACAGTTAGTAAATGAAAACAGTGCTGCATAATGTCGGGCCTTTTCTCAGCTCTGCAGAGAAGTCATCCAAGGACAACAGAAAAACAGGAGCCACACACAGACGTAACACTGCATTTGCATGTTAGCGTCCAGAGGTATGGATTTATTGTCATAGCTGCGTGAGTCTTCAGTTTTCAACGAGCCAAAGTGCTAATGATGTGAAAAAAGGTAATATTGCTGCTGAGCTCCTGTAAGTCTGGGACTCGTTGAGGCACGTCGTGTGAAGAACGCTGCTTTAGAGCAGAAACGCCATCTGCGAGTCCACAGTCAAATCTGTTAAGGGAAAAAAACAGCAGCCCTCGGGGTGTCCAGAGGTGAGGGATACACCTCCTCCTGTTCAGAGGTGGAAACTAGCTGCTACCATCCCAGAGGAAAGTCACTGAGCAATAAATTAAATGAAGGTTCGAGGTTTTTCGAGGAAAAACCAAACATTTTTGCATGACTTCCAGTTACCTCAGCCTCTGAAGTTAACACTGTAACAACGCCAAAAAGTGATTACATTCACCATGACCTAGAGACATAGCAGCGACTTAATCACACTTAATTTAACTGTCTGCACTTATCAAAACAACAAAGGAGTTTGGCCTCATTTTACACCTGCACATTTCACAAAGCAGCGCTTCCGGCACTGACGGTAAGTTTTGCAATTACAATGACGTAAAGTTCATAAGCGTTTGTTCACTCAGGCAGCTGATGTATGGCTTTGGGGCAGATGTTTAAAAATATCTAAGTGTTAAATGAAGTCCGTATTTCTGTTCAAAAATTAAAATGTGTTGAAGGAGGTCTGATGGATGTAGAACGTCTGGGACGGTGCTGATGCTACGCTGCTCGGGCCAAGCTGATAAATTAACTCTGATGAATTGTGCGCAGACGTCTACAGCGTGTTAAATCGAGGCGGTCCATTTCCACAGAATGCAGCATTTATTAACCAGACTTTCAGAAATAGTGAAGTCATTACTCCAAGTGTACATAAAAATAGGCCCAGGAGCCTGGATGTAAGGATGCATTTGATGGTCTGTTGCTGTTTCAGAATCTCCTGCACACTATAAGGAGTAAAACTCTTCTGTGGAAACGCTGAACGACTGAATGAATTGCACCTCAGGTAACAAAGAGCACCCAAATCCTGAAAGAAGCCGAGCGTGAGCTCACAGGGGACGGAGCCGACACTATGTGTGTGAGTGTCGTGAAACAGCACAGATGGAGGAACAGACTCTTTCTTTCCTCTCACTGAGTCATGCCTCTGTCATGTGTCGAAGCGTCCTGGCTCTCTTCCTGCCCTGTCTCGGGATCTCCTGCTCTGTGTTGAGACACTCTGCTGTCCTCTAGCAGGGACAGTCAGTGGACCGGATCGTAGCGCCAGCTAATGAGATCCATACTGCACCGCTGCATGTGAATTTATGGAACTTCTGTGTTGTGTCATCATCTCCTGTAACCATACACGTTGTCCATTTCCTGTCATTGCGCTCTGGAATCTGGAGTCCAGACGGGGCCTGTTGCGGAGGTCGCCAGTTGGACAGGTGAAGTGAAGACGAATGCATGAAATGAGGTCAAAGGGGTTCGGAGTTTTAACTGGCTCGAGCGCACGAGCCTTCCAGGAAAAAAAACGTCAGTCCCGAGAGCTTGAAACATGAAAGACGTGAACAATAACTCACCTTTGGTCCGGGGAGACCTTCTCCTGTCGGTCCTCTCTCCCCTTGGACTCCCTGTGGCCCTTGAGGTCCCTGAGCAAACCAGAATATGAGAATGAGCACAGGAGGAACATAAAAACCATCTTTAAATGAATTACACTAGTAACAATATGCCCGTTAGAATACATACATCTTTACCATTAAAAATAGTAGGATTTTCCTGATTTGTATCAAATGAATAAATTGAAATATATTTGAATTCAATCTATATTTGAATTAAATATTTCTGAGTAGATTTGCCAATTCCAAGAAGCAGAAGGCATGGTGATAGTGTCTGACGTAACATTTTGCTGGGGGTACTTGATAAAACTCGTGCTGACTTTAAAAAAAAAGGCACAATCTCATTCTAAATGCTTTTGTTCGTTAAAAACGGGCATGTCTTTTCTTTCTAAAATCTTATCCTCAAACAGCTATTGTCCAATCTTAGTACGAGCAACATACACACATCACAAAAGAGTTGGTCTGTCATAAAGTGAGCTAAAAATGTTAGCCAGCTGATGGTCTTATTACCTACAGCAGCCACAGCCAAGCAGAGCATCAGCGATGAACCAGACTGGTTTGTGGGATTGAAGGTTATCTGACAAATATCTCAGCTCAGAACCACAGCATCCAGTGCACGGCAGCTAAAACGCTACGAGATGCTCTGGCCCAGTAATCTGTCCATAACCATTTGGCCTTCGCCTACAATTTACCATCACTCCCTAAATCGCTGAGGTAGATGCTGCTCGGTGGCTGCAGCGCACTCAGTCAGGTGTGATTTTATCAACATGAGCTGTTTTCTACAAGCAGAGCACATCTTTAGTGTCAACACTGCTGTCGATCCTGTTCATGTAACTGTGGAAAACCAAAGTCATGATCAGGTTTCATTTCATTTTGCAGCCCTGCTTCTGTGTTGAGACTAAATGCAGTGCTGTATCTGCCTGCCTGTACCTGCACTCTTTATCATCAGGAGCATCAGCTATAGATCGGTTTATCATTGGAACAGCTCAATGATTTGTTTCATGAGTCAGGTAGGGAGAGATCGACTGTCAAGAAGTGTCTACCACTTTGGTTAATGCAGCTCAACCAAAACAGGCTACTGGTCAACATACACTCGCACATTTTAACTCACAAAAAATGGTTTAGCAGCTTGCAATGTTAGCTTTCATAAGCTCGTCTTAGATGCAGGTGTTAAAATCTGCTCGTGGTGCCGTTTCAGGCACTAAAACGAACAGCTGTCGCCACACAAGCAGAAACCCACGGTGTAAAAACTCAGAGGGTAAATCTGTCGTCTTTGCTAACTGTACACGACGCGCCGTAATGACAGGACTGATGGATGTAGATGGTTTGAAGAGGAAGGAGACCAGGACTTAGCCAAGGACCAGCCAACATGTCGACTCCTTCCAATGCCCACCTCCATCGCCACATGAACAAATCCATACTATCGATTATACTTTATTAAAAATTGTGTGTGCTGTTTTTTTACTCACTGGTGGTCCAGACTCGCCAAGCCCTGGAGGACCTGGAAGCCCTGGTTGCCCCTGGAAGCCAACATCGCCCTGCAAAATGCACGAGAGGAGAGTCCAAACAGGGTGAGACGCTGGCAGATTACTATGTTGGCATGACTTCATTTTCTGTAACAATAGGGTGGCAGCCTCACCTTGGGTCCCGGAAGGCCGATCCCTGTTTCCCCTTGGATTCCAGGTGGCCCAGGAAGTCCCCTTTCTCCCTATAAAAACACAGGCAGGGAAAGACATGTGCACACAGAGACGCATAAACAATTGCACATACTATTGGTTTTGTTCTGGCATACGTCGCCCAGCAAGACATCCCACGTCTTTAATTTTGTCACCACACCCACATAAAGCTACATCAATGGCTGTAGTTCCTCTAATATTTAATGTGTGTCTGTTTTAATGGGGGTTCAGACATGTACTGTGGGGTTCCTTCATTCCTTCAGTCAAGACTTTATTGGGAAAGAATGTGATTATTCACCGAGAAGCTGTAAATCACAGTCTTGGTGTGCAGCAGGAGGGCATACGTGAGTCGTGAGGAGGGCGTGGAGATGTTCGTAGGTGCATACCGGCACTTTTTTTTCCCTCTCTCTTGCCCTTTCAAGCAAGTTGGGACAATGTTTAAAGCCAGACATTAGTCTGCCATTCAGGTGATATAGGTTGACAGCCAGACTATCAACATGAACATTCTTCCAAAATAATTAAGGAGGGAACACTTGCTGGGGAGTGTGGGCTCATGGCAGAATTGGCAGGTAGAAGAGGGGAGAGGGGCCAAAAGGTACGAACAGACAAATAAGCTGACAGGGTAATAAGAGATGAGCGACTTGAGAGCCGCTCCAAATGTTCCAGTGGTGATGGATCATAATTCATAAATAAGTGTTCAAATATTACAGGTACAGGATCCGTGTTAGCGGTTACTTGACATTTGGGATGTATTTTACAGCAGCGTTGGGTGATTTCAAATGTCAACTTCGTGTCTAACGTTATTCCAAGAAAAAAAACCCAAGAACGGAGAAAACACTTTATTATGTCACATTCTTTCACCTCCGACACGCCACAGGTACTTCAGGCATTCACCGACTGTATCGCTGACATGAATGCTCTTTTGTTACAGCCTTATAAGAAACTTAATTCATCCCAGGCTGGAAATCATACGACGGATCCAACCAAAAAACCCAGAGGTCCTCAGATATGCATCTGGTTTGAAGATGGTGGGTCACCTTTGATCAATGCTTTTGGGCGGAGAAGGGGAAAGAGAGTATCTGGCTCAGAGTGAATTCACTCACATATAAAATAATGTTTGACACTGAAATCAAAACATACAGGCTGACTGTAGCTCTAAAGGTTCTGTGTGCCAACATTCAGAGAAACTGGATGCTGCTGCAACACCAACAGCTTGGAGCCAAACAAACGGACACATCGGCCACATCTGCCTCTACTCTTATTCAGACAGGTTGTGTTCACGAGAGCCAACAAAAAAACCCCCATTAGCTCATGTTAGCATTGTAGAATACAACAAATGGAGGTCGCGAGTTGTTGAGCAACATTATCTTCACTTTAGCTGCCTCGTGTTTTCTCTGCTCATGCCTGTTCTGTTTATTTCGACGGTCTGAGTGGACGAGGAGGAACAGAACCTCCAAACAGTGGCAGAGATCTCACAATCACGTGAAACTTCTTTTTGTTCATTGCTGAATGCTGGATGTGCAGTTTCATTTTGCCACGGAGGTGTGGAGCTAACAGTAGATCAGTTTATAAGCACATGGAGGGCAAAGAGTTTCAATGGGAGGGATTCACATGCACCAGTCTAACTCGCTGGATGAAGCCCGCCAGTGGCCACAAATATCACACGGCTTCTCCTGCATGTACGTACGTATCCACCATTTACAAAACCCCTTTCACAACGGGAAACAACAGCCACCTCTGGGCTAGCAACCTACTTCACTAAAATAAAAAAAAGTTTCCTCAATGATCTGGATCCTGCACACTATTTGTTGTCTGTTTTTTGGTAAATTAACTATTTTCCTGACAGTGTTTGCCTCCCTGCATGCAAACGTTCCAACAAAACAACTCCATTTTTCTCCTCATAGCAGAACGATACTGAGCCATTCAGTGCTGCAGAATGATGCAGATATGCACGACTACACTAACACGCATTAATGTGCAAGCTGACAGGACAGAGAAGCTCAGATTACAACACAGCGCTCAAAATTTTATATACTGCAAATCATACGACTTTAAAGTGCCTATATTTAGCCTTTTTATGCAAAGATCCCTTTTCTCAGATGTGCAAGAGTAAGTTAACAGACATATGTACGCATGTCAAGTGATCTACAGTCTAATATTAGGCTGCACAGCTCTTTGATTCGAAGACGGCTTCAAGTCTATGATTCGTTTCTATAAACTAAATATTTGTCATCTTCTTTTGAAACGGTTTTCCAAACAGCCGCTGTCACTTTATTACAGAACTCTGTCTCCAGCAGGTAAAATGGTCATTAGGGTTTAAATCTGCCGTCTGACTCGTCTCGTCTGTCACCGTTAAAAGCTCGGGTCTGATGGGCGGTGCGTTTCAGGTTATTATCTTGCTGCAGAACGATGGTACGGCCAATCAGACTGGAGGAGCTGTGTTGTACACAGCCAGATAAAATACATGCGTTTACATTTCAACCTGCTGCTGCCATCATCAATATCGACAAGCGAGCCAGTTGCAGAACCAGCCGTACATGCTTTACTCATTTGGATCAGGACCACTTCCTACCTGATAAGTTCATTTCTTGTGCTACACGTCTCAATGACCTGTTCTGTTTGTCTGTCAGTCAGCTCTTTAGTCTTTCTGCTGATGTTTGAGGGTTAACTCACAGCTGCACATCTGAAACTGGGAACAGTCACCATGGTGAAGGCCATTAAATGAAAGGTGATATTCTTATTTCATCTTTTTAATTTCGACCTAAACACCTTAAAAAAACATCTGACTTTACGCCACTGTTAGCATTGTTTTGGATGACAGATGAACGCGGCGTGTTGCAGATTGCAGAGTGAACCAGAAGTTCAAATCTGCTGAACTCTGACCAGAGGCGTGCTGACCTTTGCCGAAGCAGCGAATCACTGGTGACAACTATTTGAACTAAAAAGACGGACGACAAAATAATAAGCTACTTATGACGTGTACAATAACAAATGGGCTTCGTGTACAGACCACGGACGGCATATAAGAGACGGACACAGCCTCGGTGCCGTCACCAGCTGGTTTGTGGACTTTAAAAGCTTTGAATGTGGGTTTTAGAACTGGACATGATGATCGAGGGGTTGAGGACACCCATAGCAATAAGGTAGCCACCTGTCAATCACACGGTAACCCCGCCTTAAAACATACCTTTGCTTTATGGGCGATTTTTTCTGTAAATAGGATTATAATCTACAATACGAACATCGTGCTGTTTTAAAGGAGACCTGAATCTAAAGACTGAGGCCATAAACATATTAGTAAAATATTTACTGAAGTAGCATATCAAGTAAGAAGTTTTCTTTGACTTCTCTTGGCTTCTTTATGCAACCAGATGAATCGCCCCCTGGTGGCTGTGAAAAAGAATACAGGTCTAAGGCACTTCTGTATGGCCTATTGGCACAAAGAGAGTTTAAATCCTCAAAATGTAACAATCCGCTGTCAGCAAACACAGACTGAAAATGAAGATGGACTACTTGCTCCCATTGTACAGAAGTTAAGGCAAAGTATTCGGAAATGGGTATAATGTTATCAGATTCGGTGTAGTAGTGACCGGGGTCTGGAGATGTGGTACTGAGGCCCTGCTTCCTGTCAGGCCAAAACTGGAATACACACCCTTTAAACACCTAATAGTCCAGCCACTTAGACTGTCCTGCAAACATAGCCAAACATTAGCACTGCAGCTAAGGGGCCATTTAGTACAACACCATCAGGACTTAAGCAGAAAAAATTCTCTCCTTGTAGTTTGAAAGGGACATTTAAAGGGACAGGGTTTATGAAAACATTCACTTCATACAGACCAGAAACCATCTATGACACCTCCCTGATTTTAAATGCTAGTCTAACACACGGCCCACGATGAGTTCAGAAGCATCAAGACTGAGGAGAACTTACCTTTTTACCCATCACACCCTCCGGTCCGATATCACCGGGCGGACCAGGCAAACCCTGAATTGTGAAAAAAGTATTAGACATTACAAGGAAGTAGAGTTTTGTAGAATTTCATGGGTCAGATAGACAGTGAACACGACTGATCACTCGCTAAACCCTCCCCTTAACGTTGGACTGTCCAATCATATCGATAGAAAAAGACCCAGTGTTTTAAAAATCACTACAAATGAGTAGTAAGTCTACCATCTTCATGATTGTGAAGTGGATATGTGATGCTAGAATACACATGTGTGGCAGATTTGACAACAGAAAATAAGAAAAGTCAACTGAACCTGAATTCCACGATTTCCTCTTGGGCCGATGGTGCCTTCAAGACCCTGCAGAAAAATATGACTTTATTAAGCTTTATAATCCACGATGATCATAAGCAATACTTCCATCTTGACATTATGGTGTGATTTAATAAAAAATAAAAAGGATGTGGAGAAACATCTTCACATGTGATTCCCTTCAAATAAAACTGGTTTTCTAAAGGTCAATAGTTTATGGAAAATGGATGAGTCAGCTCCAGCAATAAAACGAAGAAAGAAAGCAAGAGTTTGAAGTTGTCACAACATTTAAAGGGCAACGTACTCGATCTCCTTTAATTCCAGGTGTGCCACACTCGCCCCTCTCTCCCTGCAAGAGGATAAAGAAGTTTAGTGAGAGCATTAGCACAGCGTTATTTTGCATAATTTCAGACTTATAATCTAATTCCACTGCTTTACAAGCAGCAATTTATCTTAGAAAAAAAAAAAAAGACTTTAATATCCAAGCCAGGATTTGGTTTGCAACATCTAATGTCCTGGGATTCAGGCAATTAAATCTCTTTAGGGTTGAATTCCTTCCAAAGAAAAGCAACGCTGATCCTGGTAAACAAGCTTGACATGAAAGGAGGAGAAGAAAATTCCATAGTATTTCTAATGTCTCTGAACTTTATCGCGTCTGGAAAACATAATTCTCAAGTTTCTGTCACTGTGGTGGATTTTGCACAAGCGTGGGAACCCATAGGAGCGACCGCAGAGGAATCCATACAGTACCTTCTCTCCTTTGTATCCCGGTTTTCCCTGTGTGAGCAAAACAATTATGTTAAGTCGGGAAGAGACATAAAAAAAGAGCATAAATGCTGCCACACAGACCACAGAAAGAGACTTTTTTCTCAGCAATAATCCATGTTGAGGACAAAGAAAACTATTTTTATAACGTCAAACTTATTCTTAATCGACTTGAACCGAGACCCTCAGCTCACCTCTCCTCCTTCCCGTCCTGGAAGTCCACTGAGACCACCCTCACCCTGCACAAAACAGGAGTTTGGTTTAGCCGGGAAAGGTTACCCACGCTGTTTGCACATGCATCAACAGTTTACTATAGATAACTGGGGGTTTATGAGCAGGCAGCACCTTCTGTCCTTTAGCGCCGGGGCTTCCATCGTCACCAGGGCGACCCTTCTTGCCCTGCAGAGACATTTCTGTTAGCGACATCTGATCGTGAACAAGTTATTATTAGTCATTCTCTTCTGCAGCGGTAAACTTTGAAACTTGTTCCCAAACCGTAGAAAAACAACCAATATGGAAAAGACACAGGATATTAAACGCTAAGTCAATATGAAGAGCTAAACAATAACAGGGGTCCACCAGGAATGTAAAATATGAGATATGTTGTTTCTCAGGATATAGAGAGTAAATAGGAAAACAAAAAAAAGGAATGCAATTAGAGTATTAAAAAATAAAAAAGTAAACCTTCCTCGACTCTAAAAACATCTTAAGCATGTAAAGGAGTAAACTAACAGCATCAAGTCTGTCTGTTCATCAGGCTGGTGGAGGGCTGAAAGCTAAACTCTGAGCCAGGATTCAGCCAGAGTTGCCTTACAGGTGAGTTGTAAATTCAAAACACCTTTAGATCAGTCACCATAACAGTGTCTGAATAAGCTCCGCCCACATTGCAATGCATGAATATGTTATTTGGTGCTGCAATTAGTGCATTTTGTTCCCCCAAAATACAGGACAAGCACATTTTAAAACTATCAGACTGACAGCATGTGAACACAGCACAAGTCTGCAAAACTGCATGAAGAGTTAACGGACAGGCACGAGTAACGGTGCAGCATGAGTAAGCGCCAATGCAGATAGCAGCGTGTAGATCCTGAGCTCTGAGTTTATTAAACACCTGCAGCAGGATCCATGTCAGCTTCTCCAAACCAAGAGAGCTGATTACATTTACACATGTACACCAGCATTAATTACTTATTGTTACGAATGATCCCAGACATGCAGACAGGATCAAATAGTTAATCACACTTCTTCCTTCAGACAGGTGAGCAGCCATCCTGACTCACCGTTCATCAGCTGCTGCTAGATCCTCTGTTACAGAGTAGATTCAGATTTAATCTTCTGTTTATTAGTGGATTATTATGCACATGCAATCTAACGTGTGAGACAAACAGCACAATCGTTCTGCGGCTCTTTCCATCACTGTCATGTCTGACTGAAGCTGTGAGCAGCATTAACATAAACGTAGCCAATAACAGACTGAATATCTTCACTTTAACAGACTGATGATGCATCAATGTCATGAATCCCGTCTCTTAAAAACAAAGGCTTAAACAGTGTCGGCTCCTCTGGGAGGTACTTTAATATAACTTTGATATAGTTCAGCAGCTGCGAGCGGCAGTATAGCGGCTGATCCATGGTATACTTTCATGTAATTACAGCCAATAATAGTCCCCCTTCTTCCTATTTTCTGCAGCATGCAATAAAGAGCTCTTGTAGTTTGGTGGAAGCAACATGTTTCGAGTCCATCATGGATAAAGGCCACAGAGTCTGGGAGCAGATGAGTCAGAGGGCTGAGTAACAACCGTCTGGCTCTTCTCGCTGCTTTCATGCGTGCGTGAGTCGAGGACTCTGCATTTTCTTATCTTTCAAGCATCCCCTCGCTCCGTGTTTCTGTCTGCACACACTGCTTCCGTCACTGTGCGCCTGCTGCCCCTGATGTGAAACAGCTTTTGTTCGGAGCGTTACATTTAAAGGGGTAATTACTCCGTTCTCATCCTGTGAAAATACATCAAAGCAAAACCGCGACATCTAATTGTGGCTGACCTTCTCCGTGTAATGAAAGGCATGCTCGTAGCACGACACGAGGAAAGCCACACAGGTAACGTCTTATCTGCCCATCTTGTGTCCTCAAACAATCCCAAGTGGTTGGATTCTTCTGGAAGAACCTGCTGGTTTCACGTGTGGTGATACTCTTGGGCCTGTTCTCAATAAGCCATAGGAGGAGGAATGTGCAGCTTTACTCTCACTGCTGCAGGGAAACGGAGATTCTCCAAACCACATGATTTGCTAAACTCCACCCAAAGCCTGCAATTATGTAGCCTGTTAGCATTAACGGGGCTTTGTGTTGGCTGTGCTGTTCTTTATGGTGTTTCAAAATAAGCAAGTTTGTGAGTAATTGTCTTTTTGTGGCATGAGAAGAAAACATGTGGTTTTCAAACATTAAAAAGAAGAGTTTTGATCTTACTGTACAGTGGAGGAACAGTCCTTTGAAACTGAATCTAGATTTTTTACCATGAACTATGTTTGTATGTTATATTAGACATGTTTGGGCTCCACAGACTAGACAGAAGGAATACTTACAGCAGGGCCACTGGGTCCCCTCTCCCCCTTCTCACATGCACACTTGCTCTGGGCTAGAGGACACTTCAAAAACAGGAAAAGAAAGAGTGAGACAGACCGTATAGAAACGCAAAAATATGTGTAGAAATACCAGCGAGACTCACCCCTTCGTCCGCCAACGCCGTCTGTGGAGCGAGAAACAACAACAGCGTCAAGACAGATTCACTCCATGTGGTTGATTTTACACTTTATTCATCTCATACAGACTGATGTTTTTATGTGAGGTAACAGGGTTCAAAATCTGAGCTAAGCAACTATCCTGTTCTCAAAAGAGGTGATGGAAACACCTGTTGCTCGAACCCGTAATTAAACTCGTGCACCACTGGCCCAAGTCCAGAGTGTCAAGCGGCCTTCAGCCTCCTCCACCTGATTCTTCGCTCGAATCCTCAGCTAGTAAAACGCGCATATAGCGCCCGATGTTAACCCCGCAGGCTGCGCTCGTCTTCAAAGCCGACCGCATTCCCTACACAACGGAATACGGTCAAAACTCTACTGACAATAAACACAAACCACATTTACACGATTAGCAAAACAGCCCAGCTAAGCATGCAGGGGACGTCTGTGTAGTCGGGAGGGGCGTCTGAAGACAGTCTGTCCATTCTTAGAGTGTCGCAGCCCAACGCTGAGACCAAACATAAAAGAACATTCTCAGCCGGGACACATGCTTATGACATACAGATGCCGTCTGTGCAGGGCGATGAGATGAAAGCCTGGCTGTTGCTGGGCTCCTACATGCCAGCAGAATGCAGCCCGTCAGGTCCAATGTTCTGGAAACCTCGCTGCAAGTTCTCCATAAAGTTTTCCCTTTATCATGTTTAGATGCGTAACACCTGTGTCAACAGCAAAGCTCGAGCTTGAAGTGGTGTTTGAGGGGTTTGTCGGATGGTATAGCGTGCATGCATGTTCTTGCCGGGTTCCTGCACCCGATTTTCCCACAAAGAGTTCTAATGCAGAGCACATGTGATGGCCAGCAGCCTGCTGGTGTCGGCAGGATGTTGCTGTGCAGCACATGTGTGGAAGTGGAGATGCATTATAGAAGTTACCCTCCTCACTCAGGTCAACTTAAACAATTAGTTTTTCTTAGTTAACCTCCAACACTTTCTGAATTTCACAGCCTCACTTCTTTTTTTTTGGGCCAGCTGCTGATTTCAGAGTGGATGCCAGAATGAATTTCAGTTTAAAGTGACACCAGAGCTGCTACTACGTTCAGCAGCAGGTAGCAGGTGTACGTCAGGGACGCAATAAGCCGAGAAATCATGGCGGTGGGTGGCATCGACGACGGCAGCAGAGGAAGTGCTCATTGAAGCTGCTAATATCTGATTTATTCTGATTCGGTGTGTCTGCATAATGGCTTTCTGGAGCTCCTACCTGCCATGAATGTCTGCCCTCTGGTAACAAGCAATTATGAAACATACATGCAATTTCGCAAGCGATGCAAGCGCCAAAGAAATGTAGTCGCTGGTTGGATCCAAGTGATATGCAAGCCTAAGCATGAATATAAAAAAACATTAATTTCCTTCAGGTCTCGTTAATGAATATGTATTCAGGAAGATGCATGTTGAGGGATTTGCAAAATCTTGACTTTATTCTGCTCTGAATGAAGCTCAATTGTCAATTAGAGCTGCAACGATTAAACAAACAGTTGCCAACAAATGAATCTTCACGAGGAGTAAATAGAAGTAAATGTGAAACTGTCGCCCAACTAGAGGAGAGTCAGGAACTAAAGAGTGCTGAGACTGGACCCCATGTGGAACCTTTGAGGATACTGAATTTTATTTGCTCATAAAATTAGATTTTTAAGCAAAGAATGCAATATTTATTATTTCAAAGTATATATGCTGCAAGAAAACTGTGTCCAGCTCAGACTTCATGGTTGTCCTAGACGGCATCAAAAATTAAACAGCTCAAAGTGAATGGACTCTGCATATCAATGCCACCACCTACAAATCTGAACAACAGGTTTAAAAAGACTTTTACTCACAATCTCCTTGATGACTTTGTCCACGATGCCTCTGTCCTGCAGGTTGTGGAGGTAGCGGGAAGCCGGGGAGCTCGCGATCAGCCGCAGCTGGGCTACATTTGCGGGCTCATTGGCTTCAGGTGTGATCCCTATGGTGAAGAAACGGACACCCTGGTTCTTGGCATCGGCCACGGCTGAAAATATGTCTGGGTTCCTCGGGTGCGAGATGCCGTCGAAGAGCAGGATGGCCACCTTGATGCTGCTGGTGTCCGACTCCTCCAGGTAGATGCGGGTCAGGTTGGTGATGGCGTAGGTGGTGTAGGTGCCGTGGCCGATGTACGTGATGGGAGCGATCCGGGCCTTGAAGTCCTGAGTGCCCCTCCACTGTTTGAAGGTCTGCTCTATGATCACGTGGCTGCTGTACTGGAGGAGGGCGGCGCGGGAGCTGAGCCCCCGGCCGGTCTGCAGCCTCAGGCCCTGCAGCCGGTCCATCACGTCCGAGGCGAAGCGCTTCTCCTGGGCATGGTTGTCCTTGGCGCTCTCGGAGCTGTCGATCAAGAAGGCCAACTCCAAACCGCAGTCCTCATCGACGAGAGCTGGCCGGAACAAGGAGTTAGCCTTTATTAAACATGTTTTAGTAAAAATAACAGGAACAGTTTGGACTTCTAGCGAATATAAGCTGTTTTTATGCTAAGGCAGGCTAACTGTCTCCTAAGTTTGCTTTAAATTTAGCAAAAAATATCAAAGCGGTCGGAGCAAGAAAACAAATAAGCGTATTTCCCAAAATGCAGAACAAATTTTAACTGACTTTATAATCTATAGAAAGAGGACTTGTCCACAAAAGGAGTGCACAAGTTCCATTTGGGCATTTGGTCGTGACTAGATGGCCGTTCTGACTTCACAACCAGCCTCTAGCTTTTCTGCATTTAATGCATCTTTCCTGCATTAGCTGTTTCCATGCTGGTCGTCTAGACGTTTTCATCAAGATATCATTTATTACTTTCATATCCAGCCAAATACAAACACCCAGCTGATCACACCCAAATGGTTTTCGTGAGCAGGGGTGAAATTTTTATCTGCGCAGCCTTCAGCGGGGGGAGGAGGTGATTTATTGACCATTTAGGCTCTATAGGCCAACGCTGTTTCTAGAAAAGTGTGATAAGTTCATGAATGTGGCATATCATTTTGAAGAGGAAATAAAAGGAACTCAACTTGCTGCACCAACCTTCAGCAGTGGAAGGAGGTCACAGATCTAATATAGGCTGAGGATAAATCACATTAATCTTCAAAGAAATATGTCACGGAGAGAATGTGCCTGGGGAAACAGGATTCTGAGCGAATAAAACATTTGGGTAACAGAGCACTGAGCGGTCACGCGGGAGATGGATGGCTCGGAGAAGCCTCGCAGATATGATCAATCCAAGTGGATTGCATCCTCCAGCAATGTCCTTGTTGAGTATCATGTTCTGTTTTTTCACCTTTTTCTCTTCACCTGCTTAAATTCCACACCACTTTTTTCTTCTTTTCAGAGTCAGAGCATCACTAAAAAGACTCTTCAGAAAATTCCAAACAGAAGAAACTTACATTTGCCATTTTGCGTCACGGAGTTTGTTGAAAGCAGCTTGTTCTTCCTCTTCGGGGTCACCACCTCCTCTTCATAGTCTTCTTCATAGTCCTGAGCTGCCAGACCCTGGAGTCCCCACAGCAGCAGGAGCCAGTGCAGAGAGGGGAGCATGACTTCCCTGAGAGGAATAAAGACAAGACAAATACATCTGAAAAAGTCTCCCTATTTTAATACCCTCCAAAAAGAAAAAAAAAAACCTGCACACACTCAGAACAAGCTTTAACAAGCTTTGCATGTTTAAGACTCAGGCATCAAGCATGCATACCTCACAGTGTCGCTCCCTTAGGTCTCCAATGTGCTCTGCTCTGTATGCTGCTGGTTCTACTGGCAAGGAACAGATTCAGCAGGACGATGCAAACAAGGCAAAAGAGAGTTTCTTCATTCACAGTTACTTTGGTTCCATGTCCTGAGCATCACAGCGAGGCTCCTCTTCCACTGACCGGATCCTAACTGGCACCATAGAGTCACGACAGCAGCTGCAGTGTGTTGTTGCTAAAAGTTTAGACTTTATTCTGGCTCAGGGGACTCCCACAAGTTCAAATCATTCAAAGCTTGCAGTAAATGAAGGTAAGTCCAGCCCTCACTGCCTTATTGGGGAGAGTGTGGGTGGGTGGGGGGAGCAGCCCTCGTCACGCCTGAGCAATGAGTGCCCTTTCCCTTTCTTTAGTTAGTGTCATTTCTACTTTGTTAGCTATGCTATTTAAAACAGGAGCAGGAAGGAAAGCCCCTGGGAAGAATAGCAATTTGTCTTTTTTTTTTTTTTTTAAGTGAGGCAGTCGAGATCAAAGCGGGGATTTATGAGTTTTTGTCAGTGCGTTATGTTGCAGCGGGGCCACTGAGGACATCAAGGTAATGTCCTTGGTAGTTCGTCTGGAGACCGGGGGGATGATAATGAGAGCGAGAAAACATTTTAGACTGTGTTTTAACCGGTGGATTTTAATGCATCCAGACAAAAACAAAATGAATAAATAAGCCAAAGTGTGATTAAGTGACCTTGAAAAAAAAAAGTAAAAGAAATGAAAAGTTGAATTTATGTACACACAAGTAGACGAAACAAGACAGATAACAAGCAGTAGTTTTATCTACAAAATGATGAGCATACAATCACAGCTGCACAGGCTCTGGTTGCAGCTGATGTCACCAGTCCAAGCTGGTCGTGCACATTTGGGTGATATTTTACCTTTTGTGCAGCAGGAGAAAGTTCCTGCAAAGTCTACGTTTGTCCATTCTGTAGACCAGGGATCTCCAACTCCGGTCCTCGTGAGCTACCGTCCTGCAGGTTTTCCGCAACACACCTGACTCACATTAATGGATCATTAACAGACAACAAGCTGCTGGAGATCCATGAATGTGAGTCAGGTGTGTTGGAGATCCCTGCTGTGGAACGTAACGGTGTGGCTGCTCTTCAGCATCAATCTGCTCTATGGGATAAAAAAAAAAAACTGGTTTTTCTTTTTTTGTATTTCTTTAAACCAATCACAATCATCTTGGGTGGTTTCTGGGTCTCCTTAAAGTAGTAACAGGTGGAATAGTTTTGGTGGAATATTTGCACACAGGGAGGCGAGAGCTGTCATTAAAATTAATAATCAACCGGAAAAAACCCCAAAACGAGCAGGGCTGCCTGCACCGCGCGGTGGAAATCCTCGACAAACATTTTTAGGTTGCTCGCCTGGAGCTGCTGCTGGATTCTGAGAACATGTAATTAGTGGAAGAGAAGACCAGTGACAGGCTGGCATCCGCTGAGTCACAGTCACTGTCTTATTCTCACTTATTTACCCCTCTGGCACGTTATCATCCATTCATGTTTGTGTTTATTTGATGAATGTAAGTCCAGGATTGACTCTCACTAAGCTCTGATTTTGGTCTCCACCAACACCTGAATGGAATGCATTATTATATCTATAATATATAGTATTAATGTCCACCAGGCGCCTTGTGTGTGCACTGAGAACTTTTCTGCTGACAGCTGCGGTCATTAAGAGCAGACTTACACAATCATTCTCTGCAGATTCAGCAGAACAAGCAAGCCCTTCCACACTACATGAAGTCATTTGCTGCGGTAAAAAGACTCGATATAGCTGCTGCGAGTATCTTTGATTTATGTTTTTTTTTTTTCCTCCAATTGTGCCTCCAGAGCCTCGCCCGCACAATAATCCAGAAAAGTTTGGATTGAGGATTTATACCTTAAGGCAACACACCTTGCAAAAGCAGCGAACCATGATTCACCTGTAAAAACACCCAGAGCGGCCGTTTGTTATTCCAGCTGCTGCCGTGATTTACTGTAAACACAGAAGTCAGAAAGAAGTAAATTAGAGTAAAAGGCTGACGTGCACGGACATTTGTCTTTAACTGACCAGTTTTTAAAATCCTCTTCATCTCGATCTGAAGACGCGTTCAGGACATGAACACAGATCGAGTGCAGGCAGGGCTCTCTCTAAATGCACTTCCTCAGAATCAAACCAGACTTTATTGAAACCTGGTGCATGTCCTGTCCAGAAATGTTTCTTCTTATGATATAGACCCAGATCAGAGGAGTCTTAAAATCCCACGAGACGGCCTGCAACTGTAAAAGCCGGAAGGGGAATCACATAACCCTGCAGCGGGGATGACGGCGTGTGTTTTTATTGCCTACTGTCTTACTGAAAGCAGCGAAAGGCGAGCCGTCACTCAGGAATGCCGCCGTTAAAAGATGGACGTCCTTAAATCCCGCTCGGCTCCCGTTGCACCGTGCAGCCTGACGATCGTACAGAGCAAAGGTTTCTGGGAATTACTTTTGTCATTATTTGGAACTACTTTGCAGCTGCTGGCGTTACTCGACTACTTCACAGGAATCGATAAAACGTTTGCAGCTTGTTTTCTTGTACAACACACACCATGTGGGAAAACTGGGACACAGCACTGAATTTCAATATGGCCTTATGTGAAAACGGAAAACCACAGACTTCATAGAAAGAAATATGAAATAAGTTAGCTGCAAATCCATGCTCCTGTTGCCTTCGGTCCTCACTTTCCTGATTTATTTCACAGCAGGATTCTGAAATAATGAGCCCGTGCTGCATTTAACGTACGGTTTCCTAAAAGCAGATACCACTGTGTGTCTAAAGTGGCCAGCAATTAGGTGATATTCAGTCAGAGTATGGAAACAAATGGCTGAAGATGGTCGGTGCTAGAGGAGCACGGTGATGCTGTGAGCAGATGCAGACGCCAATAAAGGGCACCAATAAAGAGCAGGGGACGGCATTTTTTATATTAACGCCACACAATTGAATTTTAATGAGCAAATGGTTTCCTCAGAATAGCTGTGTGGCATAAAAATAGGAGGGGAAAGAAATAAAGAGCAGCTTTTTTTTTTTTTTTTTTATGGGACTGCGGAAGCGACCACTTAACTCTTTGATACTCCAAAAGCCCTCCAGGTATCTTTCCTGTGACTTTGGCTTAACCACTGTTTTTACAAGATAATACATGTTATTTGAAGAGAAAGCTACAGAAGACAACCGAGGCACTTCGCTGTGGCATCAGTTACTCGGAGCGACCGGACGGATATCTGTGTTCCGACAAGTTTTCATACCGGTGGGAGAAGCTGACAGCTACACCAGAGAGCGGCACAAAACTGCAAATAATCCTTATTGTGCGGCTGTCACGGCGCTCCAGACTTATCAGAAGCATGCAGATAGGCTCGTCTAAATCGTCAGTCACAGATAAAACGCACGTATGATGTTCCCATTTATTTTGTCTTTACTGCATGTCATACACTCACATTTGTTCTGCACTTAACAAGACTACAGCCACGGTAGCCCGCCTCACTTCAATCTCATTTCTATTTTTCTGGTGGAAAATGGGGTAGATTTGCTCAACTGTGCACGAAAAGGTTTTGATCTGCGGTGACAGATTCTGGACTTGGGCGACCAAACGTCCTGTTTTTCACGTCCTGTCCAGGCTGTCGTGGTTGTTTTTTATAAAATCCATCCATCCATCCATCATCTATACACCTTAATCCTCACTAGGGTCGCAGCTGATTCAGGGTGAAGGCAGGTTCACCTGGACAGGTAAGCAGTCTATCACAGGGCTACACTTAGAGACAGACAACCAAGCACACTCACATTCACACCTACGGACAATTTACAATCACCAATTAACCTCAGCATGTTTCTGGACTGTGGGAGGAAGCCGGAGAACCCGGAGAGAACCCACGCTGCATGGGGAGAACATGGAGACTCCACGCAGGAAGATCCCAGGTGTCCTCACTGGGATGCTAACCGGCCACCTTGCAGCCCCACTAATCAAAACATGGTCACCCTACTCTGGACCACTGAGGTTTGTCAGATGTGGCCTTAAAGGACAATGATCAGACTGCATGACCAGTACGCAGGCGCTCATTCGATCTCCTTAACTTAATTCAGAAGACATGATGCCACCGATGACAAGAACAAGAAGATGTCAGTTGGGGTGGTGGTCAAACACTTGAATGTCCACAACTTCCCCATATACCATCGAAGAAATCCTCTCAGACGACTCTGGACGGACGTGTCAGACAGTGTGATCCTGTTCCTCGGCATGTCTGCCAACGCTGGGACGATGAGAGAACATTCCACCCGACAGCGTCAACAACCTCATTAACTTGCAGATGTGTACCACCGCACGACGCAAATGGTGGACAGCCTGTGATTTCAATCTGCCTGTTATCATCTCCTAATGCAGTGTTGGTTCATGACATCCATCCTGTGGTAGACATGGCGAATGCTGAAACTACAAATCATTATTTATGGGTGGAATTTATTAAAATACTGCGTGCTGTGTTCATATCTTTCTTTCAAAGTTCTGGACCAATTAAAATAAATCAAAGAAAGCCTGGGCAGTAGCAGTTATTACAATTCATCCTGGCATCACTAGCCCTTTACTATACTGTGTGATATATTATTTACTGAATTAATTAGAGACTGCTGTTGCAGCATATGGAGCCTCTAAACAAAGAGATGTCTTATTTTCATCCAACAAGCCCACAATACATTTGTCTTGTAAATGCAATGCAGCTGCATACAACATTTGATAATCAGCATTACAAGCCAAATACAACAAAGGCCAGTTCTAACCTGACAACGGCATTAAAAGTAGGATCACAGATCAGTGAATTGAACATGAACATGTGTGCTGCATTTCATTACAGTCCATCCAATCGCTGTGGAGACATTCCACTGAAACCCCAACTTGTTCCTCATCGTGACAATGCAGGAGAAGCCAGATGCTAAACATGTAATTGGTGATCTAGATGTCATGTCACGGTGTTACTATAACTGTTAATACATGTCAGTCTGAACCAAAGTGCTTGAGTGACCAAACACAGACGTTCGTACCTTCCCTCCAGCCATGCCGCCAGCAGGGCCGAACACACCAGCAAGAAAAAAGCAAGAAGAGCATTTGCAAACACCGCTCCAGCTATGAGCACAGCCTCGTCACGATTATCGCTTCATTAAGTCCTTGAGCAAAAATGAAAAATACAACACTCATGTGCTGCAGGGACGAGCTACTGTACATGTGTGGAAGGTGAAAGGTCGCCGGCTGTCAACGTGTCCCGAACATGATGAAGGAGGCTTTGCAGCACCTGACAGGGACGATACGCTGGCTTTGGTTTGGGATGGGAACCATTAGCATAAAGGGGGTTTTTATGAATTCAGATACGGAGCAGATCCCTCCATAATGAGCATCATCGAACCTTTCTAACGGCACGTGAAGCAGATCTATTTAACAGCCACATCGGCCTCACTGGACTGTTTGAGGGAACGTGTCCGTTCTTGCAGCACCTCAGCTTTCATTCAGTCGCATCACAGTAGCTGCAGAAACCTAACACACTCACAGCCTTCCCAAACACATTGCCAAGCATTATTCTGCTACTCACTGTAAGGCAACTTTATCACGAGAAATTCTTACATACTGCCGGCAATCTGTGACAACACCTGCATGTACCTGCAACACAAACCACAAAAGCCTGGCAACGCGGTAATCTCAGCCATCACTCATCTGACTTTACTTTGAGGCATGAACAAGATGCTTTATTCAAATATGTGCTCTGTTTTCGCAGACAAATTCAGACTAGTAGAGATGTATTTATGCCTGCAGATGGTCAGATTGTCATCTGTGGGTACGGAGAGCGATGCCAAGTCTTGTTCAGTCTGATACAGTCATATCCAAAACAGTAGGTGTGTTCTGAACACATTCAATGGAATGTCAAAGGAATACAATGATTGCATCTGAGACGCTGTAAACACTGAGCTTGATTGTCATTTTTACTGAACACCTCTGCAGTCATGATCTGTACACACTGTACATACTTGTGCGAGTTGTGGAGGGTCTAAAGCCGACAATTAATGGATTAGCTCAGAGACGTGTTGGTTCCTGCTTGCAGCTGATAGGACTTAGAGGATTTTCAGGGGAAAACAAATACCAGCGAATTTGGAAGAAAACTGTGCTGATGTGTTAAAACGTGAAGACAACAGACGACAACAGAGCACAGAGAGCCTGCATTATGCTTTAAACTGAGTGACATGAATACATGATTTAAGCTGTGAAATGAGAAGGCATTATGTTTGTCAGACAAACATGCACACACTTGCACAAAACCACCGTGCACATGTTACGTCTCTTTTGGTGCAACAGTACCCTCTAGTGTAAATACGTCAGGCTTACAACGCACACCTGAGCTGTGTCCCACTTCCAGCTTTATTTTTAGTCAGTAAATAGGAGAAGTTTATCCTTTTGAACGAGCAGGATAAGATTGTGTTGGTCTACCTGGAGCTGTCTCAGCACCATCCACGTACTATTTTGATGCTGAGCAGCTCCTTCACCTCCTTTGTGCATTGCATTGTGGGACAGCAGTGAACAACAGCTCACTCAGAAATCAAAGGTTTTTCTTCTGCAGAGTGACCGCTTTTCCAGCGCGAGCTAAAAACCTGTCTGGAATTTTTATGAAGAGAAAATGGGACACAGCTTTTGGTTTGCACAGAACTCGAGACTCGAGGAGGATGTGAGGCTTTGCAAAGTGACTGTAAAGAGACTATTTATTCTGAACCTGACACATGATTAAGTTAGACTATTACTGCCTGGTTAGGTAGCATGAAGGATGACTGCACCATGGAGCCACTAGCCGGGAGCCTTTTAACCATTTGTTGAGTAAAGGAGCAGATAAATGCACATTTTCTGCACAATAAATACAGATCCATAAATATAAAGTACATGGGTTAGCTTATATTATTCAATTATGAAGTTTAAGCCTTCACCAGGATCCTGTTTCTAGAAAATGCAACAACAACTACAAAGTAAGACCAGCCACATTGGAGAAATGTGCAGTCTGTGGTTGCTCCTTACTCAGAGGAAGATAATGAAGAGCTCCAAAACAGTGCATCTGTTGGAGATACACACATTCATTTAGGATGCAAAGCATGTAAACATAACTGTAAGTATCTAAACAACGTGACAGAATCATCTCAGATACACACACTGGTGTGTCAGAGAAAGGATTTAAACAGAACCCCCTCCCCAAGGCCGAATATAACCTCCCCTCTCTAAACTCCTCCCCTGTGACAGGTGCATCATTCCACCCACTCCTGGTCTCACAGAATTCAGCTTGAGCTTCTTCGACAGTGATCAGCGGGAAAATACATTTATGTTCTGACGCCTTTCAACAGGAACCATTTTTGGAGGATAAATGGCTCGGTAGATATATTTCTATCAGTAGGTCACGAGCAGACGCTGTTTTGAAAAGTTCTACACAAAACGGCCTGCACAGTACATTCTCCTGCCTTCTATGAGCATCATTATTCATCTGCAGAAACCCAGTGATGCACACGAGCTCCTCTTTCATACATCATGTACAGCAAATACTCAGAATTTAGAGTTTTCTGCACAATGAGCCCAATGATGGAGTCTCGGACCCCTTGCGATCTGAACCGAAAAGAAGCAAGCAGTCGGGGAGAGAAACTACATTTACTGAAGTGAAATTCTATTACACGACATCTCAGAGGAAGATGCTGCATTTTCATCTCCCCTTCATTTACACAACAGATGTAGTTATCTTGCAAATGCATAATTTAAATGTAAAACATATGATGGCATTTGAAGCTACGATGACTAATATTAATAATAAAACACTGCTCCCACGCTGCTGACGATAATCAAGTAATATAATATATGCAATAATGCATCATATCAAAAGCACCCATTCTGTAGAGGTTTCCCCAGGATGGATCAGGAAACCTCCATTTTACTGTATTCTACTGAATTAGGCTAAGCGTCACATTACATAAATACAGAACTCTACGGATACTCGATGCGACCCATGTGGTTCATATCTGAACTGTCTACAGATCTTTGCAGGTGTGCATTTTCGTAAGTTTAGTGAACACACGCTGTATATTCCACAATGGCCAAAGAAGCAGTCTGATCCAATAGTTGGGTAACAACAGTAGACTCTAAAAAATACTCAAACACAAAAAAGTATATGAAAACATGACAAGAAAGCCCCTTTCTGAGTCCTATATCATTTTATAAACTGTGTCATTGGATTATTACTATTTATAAATGCACTAAAGCCTCACAGGCATCATGTTATTGCTTTAAATCTGCACATTTTAAATCAAGTTTTTTACTGATTTTTTTATTGAATTTCCCTTCTGGGATAAATAAAGTATTTTTCATTTCATTAATTTTCATTTCATTTACCTTGTTGACATGTGCATATGGTAATTTAAAGACACATAACGAGCGAAGCTAGCAGCTAGCTCATGGCTGAAAATATCCACCTTTAAACTTCTGTGTGTCCACGATTATTATACTTAATACTAATCAATTAATCAGTTTCCGGTTCGAACATGTATGGCTAAATTACTCCACTGTTACAACTTGTAATAGTGTAGCATAATTTTAGAGTGGATGAGCAGACTTGTTGGTGAGCTGGTGTGCTTGAGCTGCTTTGAGTGATGGAGAGGTGGATGGAAAAAAGTTAAGGGCTTCACAGGGATTATTCTAACAGAAAAAAACAAGAATATGTAACTTTGATAGAGAGAGATGATAAACAATGACGTGAGTGTAACTTGAAATCATGACAAAACATCATATTTTATAAAATAAGTGCTCTTGTATGAGAAATCTTAATTTGCAAAGTAGCTATTACAATTAAAGTTGAGGTATATAAAAATAAATGTTCTTTTCAAATGCAGCGTTAGAGAAACATGAAATACAACAAAACATCCAAGTTGAGTGCATTCAGATTCTGTGTACGAACAGTACTTGATGCAATGCAATTTGGTTAATGTTATAATTTAATTATGTTTTAAGTTTATAAAATTGGAAAGATGACATCTACTGACAGCTTATATTGATGTAATATGCTGCAGTGATCAAGATTTATATTTTAAGTTCTCAGGCTGTAGTTCTCATTCAGAAAGGCAGTGGACATTTTTTTGTTCCTGGTAAACAGAACTCCGTCAGTGACCTACAGGAGGCAAAACATGGGTTCCACACAAATGTCACACGCTGCAGAAACAGCTCCCTTTAACAGGAGACACTGTGTGATTATAACTGGGCCTAAACTATATATATTCTCCCGTGCAGATGAGTTTATTTTAGTGATAACACGAATAACGTGTAACCTTTTGTTTGGACTGACATTCAGCTGTCAGACAGGCAGCTCTGTGGAGGACAGAATGTCAGCTGGCCGCGCACAACGACCACGCATGCTCAGTTCAGTCGTTTTACGTTGCACGCATGCGTAGTTCGCCTCCGCCGTCATTCATTATAAAGCCCTGAGTTCCTCCGTCTCTTTCCACCTTCAGCCATTTTGACCATGTTAGGAGCTGTGGGACGCTGCTGCACCGGGGCTCTGCAGGCTCTCAAGCCTGGGGTCCAGCCCTTGAAGGCTCTCGTTGGATCCCCAGCCGTTCTTTCCCGTGAGTCCTGCATGCTTGTTGTTTTTAAGCGAAGTCGTGCGAAGAAAAGACGCGTTAACGAAGTTGTCAGGAGAGGGCAGCGGCGATGCTAACGTTAGCTGCTGCTAGCAACACGCTGGCTGCCCTGCCGGCGGCGCAGCAGGCCTTAATATTAAAAAGTCAAATTTAAGCTCGTTGGAGCTGTACCAGAGCACCAAAAGGGTACACATGTGCACTTAAGCTCCTCTTGACTAATGTCGTGCATGGCTAAATGAGCAGGTTGTGCTTTTTCTTGTGCTAGCAGTAATGACCTTTGTGTAATGACATGAGGCGGTGTGTCAGTGCAGCCCGCTAGTTAGCATTGCAAGTTGGAGATTAGCAAGGTTAGACGGTCGTCCGCAAAGTTTACCTACTAACGCGTTAGGGTCGTTTAGCAACAAGAATATGGCAATTATGATGACCTATAAACTTGCATGTTATTGATTGTGTCGTTGCCAGCAGCAGGATTAGCCACATTAGCTCGACGTACACTTCATTCATCTGTCACTTTGCAGGCTAACGGTATTTATCGAGGAAATGACTTGCTAGAGTTTGCAGTGATCCAAGTGTACGTTTATTGCACATAAATGCACTTTGTTGGTTAGTGTGTCACCATTAGCTGTTTTTAAATGCTGACTAATACTTTAGCCGACTACGATTACGTGACATTGCAACGTCGCAAACAGACGCTGTTGTGAGCGTCCTGCCCGGTGCTGTGCAGTGGGCAGGACGGTCCGTTAAAGACCAGACAACGAAGCGCCGAAACAAGGTCAAAGCTGCAGCAGCCATGTCTGACTAATGTGCACACTGTGTGGGTCACTTTACAGGCAGAGACTATGTCGCACCTGCCGCCGCTGCCAGCGTCGCCAACGGGCGCATCGTGGCCGTCATCGGTGCCGTGGTGGACGTCCAGTTCGACGAGGGCCTCCCTCCCATCCTCAACGCCCTGGAAGTGACCGGTCGCGAGGCCAGGCTAGTCCTGGAGGTGGCACAGCATCTTGGTGAGCTATTACAACCTGACACCCTACCGATACACAGAAAACACTCCATTAACTCAGTGGAGATGAACTAACATGGCATTCTGTGTTTAGGGGAGAACACAGTGCGTACCATTGCTATGGATGGTACTGAGGGTCTGGTCCGTGGACAGAAAGTTCTGGACACCGGTGCTCCCATCAGAATCCCAGTGGGTCCCGAGACCCTGGGCAGGATTATGAATGTCATTGGCGAGCCCATCGATGAGAGGGGTCCCATCTCCACCAAACAGTGAGTTCACCTGGAAAACAACAGATTACATCTTTACATTGACTTTAACAATAAGCATATCATGAGATTATATTAGTAAATGAATTGCATGCAGCGAGGGTTAAGCAGCTTGCTGTAATAAAGAGTCATGCAAATGTTTTGCTTTAAATGTTTTGCTTGTGATTGTTTTGTGATGAATAACTGGAGTTTTTCCCTCCTCACAGGACTGCTCCCATCCACGCTGAGGCTCCTGAGTTCACCGACATGAGTGTGGAGCAGGAGATTCTGGTTACTGGCATTAAGGTGGTGGACCTGCTGGCTCCCTACGCCAAGGGAGGAAAGATTGGTACGTGCTAAAGGATAAATCACTGAGGTTGAGTCTTTAAAGCTGCCGGGTAATATCCTAACGCTAACTTGTGTATTTCTGTTCACAGGTCTGTTCGGTGGTGCTGGTGTCGGCAAGACTGTATTGATCATGGAGCTGATCAACAATGTGGCCAAGGCCCATGGTGGTTACTCTGTGTTTGCCGGTGTGGGAGAGCGTACCCGTGAGGGAAATGACTTGTACCATGAAATGATTGAGTCTGGTGTCATCAACCTGAAGGACACCACCTCCAAGGTGAGGATTGTGGGAAAAACCACCAAAAAGTGTCACATTCACCACAGCGTAGTAGTCAAACCTCTCCACTCACCTCGGCTCTGGTTCCTGCTAGGTGGCGCTGGTGTACGGACAGATGAACGAGCCCCCCGGTGCCCGTGCCAGAGTGGCTCTGACTGGACTGACCGTGGCTGAGTACTTCCGTGACCAGGAGGGTCAGGATGTGCTGCTCTTCATCGACAACATCTTCCGTTTCACACAGGCTGGCTCTGAGGTATGAACCTTCACTCACATGGAGAAAACAAATATCAGTTAACGGAGATCCAGCCATGCTTTGAGTATATAGTCATGTCAAATGGTGAGCTTGATAGTGAATTAAGTTGTCTTGTTTTCCCCTTCAGGTGTCTGCTCTGCTGGGTCGTATCCCCTCTGCTGTGGGTTACCAGCCCACTCTGGCCACTGACATGGGTACCATGCAGGAGAGAATCACTACCACCAAGAAGGGTTCCATTACATCTGTGCAGGTAGGTTCACCACTGCAACGTGATCCAGGATTTACTTTCTGAAACATTTGGAAGCTTTAAATGACATCAGGATAAGTGATATAAAAATAGTGAATAAGATTCATGGTGTTGGTCGTGGGTTGTTTGCTGTTTGGTAACCTGAAGGGAAAAGCTGGACTACTAAAGCTCAACAAGTTTTAAATCTCTCTCCAGGCCATCTATGTGCCCGCTGATGATCTGACTGACCCTGCCCCCGCCACCACCTTCGCTCACTTGGATGCCACCACTGTACTGTCCCGTGCCATCGCTGAGCTGGGTATCTACCCCGCTGTCGACCCCCTGGACTCAACCTCCCGTATCATGGACCCCAACATCGTCGGAGCCGAGCACTATGACGTCGCCCGTGGTGTGCAGAAGATCCTCCAGGTTTGTGACTTGATAATTGCTTTCAATTAAATAGGACAAATTAAACATTTATCACTATAACCAGTTTACTTTTTTCCCTTTTTAGGACTACAAATCCCTGCAGGATATCATTGCCATCTTGGGTATGGATGAGTTGTCTGAGGAGGACAAGCTGACTGTGGCTCGCGCCCGCAAGATCCAGCGTTTCCTGTCCCAGCCCTTCCAGGTGGCCGAGGTCTTCACTGGCCACATGGGCAAGCTGGTGCCCCTCAAAGAGACCATCAAGGGCTTCAAGAGCATCCTTGGTGGTAAGTGTTGAATCTAAAATGTGACCTCAAGCTTCATCAGCTCTACCTGTAATCCCAACACTGACTTTTATTCCCGTTTCTCTTTTCAGGCGAGTACGATCCTCTGCCCGAGCAGGCCTTCTACATGGTCGGCCCCATTGAGGAAGTGGTCCAGAAAGCTGAGAAGCTGGCTGAGGAGCACTCGTAAACATCCCAAATGTCTGAGGAGAGGAGAAAAACAAAAGGAGAGGGGTCCTGTGGTTAGGAGCACTTGGTTTGTAAAACATGTCAAAATGCAAATGTACCTGTTTCGTCATCCTGAAAAGAAAGTTCTATTTAATGTTTCCAATCAAAGATGGAATAAACACTGTCTTTACACAAAACTACTTGTCAACTGTATATTTCCTAAACGTTCATAGTTGTAGTTGATGACCTTGTTCCTAGTGAGGGATTTCATGAAATGGCTGTCCTCATCTACTCTGACCACAAGATGGCATTCTAGAGCCATGTGAAGCTTTCTGAACTGTGTTGCAGCTTGTCGCATACTGAAATAAAACAGTGGACAAATAATTGGATGCGTGTTTGTTTCAACTTTAGGAGCTCGTTAGTACCAGAACAGTCACTGCTGTCATTTTTGGGTTTACAGAAGGAAAAATAAAGTTTAGTGAGCTCATGTTGTTTAGTGCTCAACACTGACAGAAGTGTGTGGCAGCAGGAGTGAACAGCATCAGCTAGTTTCTGGAATGTTTTTCAAACCTGTCGTCACAGATAAACTAAATTTGCAGATGAGCAGTTGTGTCAGAATCATCACAAGTACAATACTGGGGAACAATGAACTACATTGTAAGAGTCTGAGGGAGCATGAGGTGATTGAGAAGTAGTTTGAAACTTACAAGGTTTGAATGTTTTGTTTTCTGAAATGCTGTACAGTTTTACTACATAGATCAGTAAGTTGAATACACATGAAGACAATGGTCACTGAAATAACTTGAAACTTACAAAATGAACTCAAGAAAATCCAACGTTGCTTTTGAATTGTGGCTCAACGGAATCATTTTCAACAAACTAATGAAACTGGTCTAAACAAAAATGATGGTACCTTTCACTTAATATTTTGTTGCTCAACCTTTTGAGGCAATCAAACCATTTCTATAACTCTGTGAGACATCTGCACCTGTCGACAGGTATTTTACTCCCCATGAGCAAACTGCTGTCTCAGGTTTGAAGGCTGCCTTTTCCAGACATGTTTCAGCTCCTTCCTCAGATGTTCAATAGGATTTAGATCAGGGCTCATAGAAGGCCACTTCCGAACAGTCCTGTGTTTGCTTCTCAGCCGTTCCTGGGTGTTTTTACGTGGGTTTTGGGTCACTATCCTGTTGGAGGACCTATGACCTAAAAGCTTTCTGACACTGGGCAGCACATTTCGCTCCAGAATGCCTCAATAGCCTTGAGATTTCACTGGACTCTACACAGATTCAAGACACCCTGTTCCAGATGAAGCAAAGCAGCCCCAGAACATAACAGAGCCTCCTCCATGTTTCATAGCAGCTATTGTTCTTTTCTTTGTATGCTTCATGTTTACATCTGTGAACATAGAGCTGATGGGCCTCGCCAAAGAGCTCCACTTTTGTCTCATCTGTCCACAGGACATTCTCCCAGAAGCTTTGTGGCTGGTCAATATGCATTTTGGCAAACTCCAGTCTGGCTTTTTTATGATTTGCTTTCAACAGTGGTGTCCTCCTTAAAGTCCGCTTTGGCTCAAACAGTGACGGATGGCGCAATCTGACACTGATGTACCTTGACCTTGGAGTCTAATCTCTTTGGAAGCTGTTCTGAGTTTTTTGTTACCATTTGTATTATCTGTCTCTTGCACTTTTCCTCCTGTGGCCACGTCCAAAGAGGTTGGCTACAGTCCCATGGATCTTAAACTTCTGAATATGTGCACCTGCAGTCACAGGAACATCCAGCTGCTTGGAGATGGTCTTATAGCCTTTACCTTTAATATGCTTGTCTATAGTTTTCTTTCTAATCTCCTGAGAAAACTCACTCTGTGGTTCATGTTCAATGTGGTCCACATCATGATACCAAACAGCCCAGTGACTACTTTTCACCCTTTAAATAGACCGACTGACTGATTACAAGTTTGATGACACCTGTGATGCTAATTAGAGGACACACCTTAGTTTAACATGTCCCTATCTTTTCTAGGGGTACCATCATTTTTTGTCCAGGCCAGTTTCATTAGTTTGTTAAAATGATTCTGTTGAACCGCAATTCAAGTTAATTTCCAGTACATTTTTAATTATTATTACTTTTGTCAGTTTCAAGTTCCATTTCAGTGACTATTGTGGGTTTTTCTTTCTTCGTCCATGTGTGTCTAAGACACCTCATAATACACACTGCATGTAATTTCACTGTCCTACTAACCCAGGGGTGTCCAATCCTGCTCCTCGAGGGCCACCGTCCTGCATGTTTTAGATGTTTCCCTCTTCCAACACACCTGATTCAAATGATCAGCTCATCATCAAGCTCTGCAGAAGCCTGATAACGATCCTGATCATTTGAATCAGGTGTGTTGGAAGAGGGAAACATCTAAAACATGCAGGACTGTGGCCCTCAAGGACCAGGATTGGACACCCCTGTACTAACCGAAGTATGTCAGAAAGCCTGAAGGAATAGTAAGGCCCAGAGTCATTTATGGAATCACATTTCTGTAGTACTCCTCAGCAGTATAAAACAAATGGTACAGATGCAATTAAATGATTCCAAGCTGAACCCACTGAGGCAGCAGAGTGGCTGATAAATTTACCAGATGAATGAATTTGTTCCTTAAACATTTTTGCTTTGGAGGCGATTGGCTTCCCGGCTACTGTACTTAGCAGCTGTTTCAGTGTTAGCTTGGTTAGCTTAGCTTAGCCGAATAAAACTCAGAATGCAGCGCCACATACATCACATCAGGGTTTTCACCGCTGTTTCCCTGAGAAAACACGCTGTCTTGGCCTGCTACGCTGTCTTTCAAGCTGTGGTGTTTGGAAAATTTGACATATTTTACAGTAAAACGTCCAAATTCCCCTAAGAAACTAGTTTCTCTACCGTCGTCTTCGCTGCTAACGCTGCTATTCGTTAGCAGCTAAGATGCTAACGCTAACGGGGAGTGTCGCAAAGACGCCCCGCTGCGCTGTCCAAAAGTTTCTGGTGATAACTCTGCACATCTAACAGGAGCATCAATATCAGCCCAATAAAATGACAGAAATATATATATTACTCACCAAGACCTGTGATTATTTAACACAAACTCCATCCTCCTTTCTTTCATCACAAACAGTTCAGTCACTCCGTTGAGCAGCTAATCCGTGCGTTCTTGTTCTATGGCCGTGGAGGCTGAAGCTGAAAGGCGGCTCTGTCCAGTCGTGTTTCTGCCATAAGTGTTAATTCGCTGTAGGGCTGAAAATGTCCGCTCGCTTAACTTTGGAAAAAAAAAAAAAAAAAGGTAATACTTTGCCGATAAAGTTTTAGCTTGTGCAGTTGCTCCAGACAGGAACCGCTAGCTTTGGCTAAGCTCTCTGACCATCCACTCAGAGGACGTGAAAGTGCTGACGTCATCATAGGGACCACCAACTCTCAATCTGATTGGTTAAAGCAACAGTTTTATTACAATGCATTTTAAGCTACAGGGCCCTCAGGGCAGATTTCCGTGACCCTGGCAACACATGATTGCTGAAATATGATTGGATTAAAAATAAAAAATAAACATCCAATGCTGAAAGCACCACAGCCCAGAGACACGCTATTAAATAAAGAGAATAGACTGTTGGGAATAAAGTTAAAAGATTAATGGGAAAATTTTACAACATAAGTCAGTGATTCTGATGGAGTTTAAGCCAGCAGAGAACGCCTTGCTGGCCCTGACGGCACACCACTGGTACTTTGTAATCAAGGCTGAATTAACCTCTGCTTTTATTGCTCTTCCTCAACCTTTCACACATGCCTATCAACACTGTCAAGGACATTAGCCTGAACAGACGTATCCGCCTGCAGATAAGGCGGCTTTGTAAATGGCCAGCCAAGCCTTGCTGTGCTCTTACTATGGAATGAACTCAGAGAAAGACACAGACAGACAGAGAATTCTTTAAATTGTATTGTTTACTCAGGGGACCGTAAGCAGCACATACAGAGATGATGCATGAACCAGATCAAACAAAATCATTCTATTTAGGTGCAGCTAACAACTTCATACCATTTGTTGTATTACAAAGAACTCTTTAGGTCAAAGTTATTCTATCGGCTTGGCGATGGGAATGCCCTCCTTCAGCATGATGTAATCACTGACACATGAAGGCATGTATGACAGCGGGAGCCAGAAAAACTTGGCGTCCCAGCCGGGGGAGTAGCGTGTGCGAGGCCGGACAGCCGCCACGGCGTGCTCCATGCAGTGGACCACCTTCATCAGGTCTGCATCGCTCATCTTGGCGACTTTGTCCGATATCACTGCCAGCGCTGGGAGGGGAAACGAGTGCAATAAAATCAATAAATAAAAGGACAAGAGCAAACAAATACGACAAAGAACAAACTGATCCACACATACACTTTTGGAGATATTCAGCGCCGTAGTCATCTTTGACGTCCTGGGGCAGTCGGTCCCACAGCGTTTGGACGTTTTTGCTCAGGATGGCAGTGTCGGTCACGTTTGTTTTGAAGAAGCCCGGCTCGATGCAGAGGACTTTGACACCAAAAGGAGCCATATTCAACCTAAGAACAACATTTCATTATTTCAGATTTATGTGCAAACCAAGCATGTTGACATAGTGCTAAACAACACGAGTTAATGTTTCACCTGAGGCTGTCATTGAATGCCTCGACGCCGTACTTGGAGATAGTGTACGGACCGCCGGTGACACTGATCCTCCCGAACACGCTGGCCACATTCACCACCCTGCCCCTGGCTTTCTTTATCAGCGGCAGGACACTCAGGGTCACGGAGACCACCCCATTCAGGTTCACATCCAGCATGGATTTGTAGTCATCAATGGTCAGCCAATCGCACGGAGCAGAGGGGACGGAAACACCAGCATTGTTCACCACAGCCCAAAGTCCTGGGAGGGCAGAGCACATCCAGCCAAACTTTAAGTTTCACCCACACATTCCTTCACAATGAGGGGAGCTGGCAGGTGGTTCTGATTTCATGGTACATGCTGAATACATTTCAGAATATAGCAATGTGCCGAGTGTTGTTTCACAAAGAAGAACAAGTCAATCATTGGTGATTAAGCACTCAACATCGTTTCACTTAAATTATAAAAAAACTAGTGTCAGAAAATAAGCACGACCTTATTTGGTTTCATTTTTGTGAATCAATCTCTGTTGCTGTCGCTCACATATTTCCGTCTACAAACCAGACTCACCTCGCTCCCCCACTTTGGTCTTGATCATGTCCGCCACTTTGGCCACGCTCTCCTTCGACCTGACATCCAGGTGAGTGGTGGTGAGGTTGCTGGAGCACGCCTTCCTCAGATCCTCTTCCCCCTTCTCGGTGAAACACGAGGCGATCACTCGGAAGCCCTTCTTGTCCAGGTGCCGAGCCAGGAGGTTCCCGAAGCCGCTGTCGCAGCCCGTGACGTACACATACTTGCTGCCCACGTCGGACACTCTGGGCAGCTCTCTGATCCAGCGGTACACGTAGAAGACGACCACCAGGGCCAGAAGGTAGAGAAACATGGCTGGAAGAAGAACAAGGAGAAACTCTTATCGTGCTGTGAGCCAAAAACAGATGAGTAAACTCTATGAGGCAACACTGGGACAGGAATGAACAAAGTGAGGTGAATGGGATATGCCAGTTCTTTTGTGGGAGGAAAGAAGACACAAAGCCTCACCTTCTTCTGAGTAAATATCATTTGTGGTGAGCTGCGTTCCAAGCTTGCATACAGCATTTGATATACTATGCGTTAGGACATATTCTGGTCTACTACATAGTATGGTAGCGTGTGCATTGGAACACACCCTTCATACTTTCTTTTTCAGGAGTTTGTTTGGTGAAGTTGACTGATTGTCACCTGAACCTGTGCAGGCGTCACCAAACCGCTGCACGTGAACCATATGTTGACAAAACAAAGAGCTCCAGACTGACTTTCCCACTGGTAGCACCGTTTGGTCGCACCTCCCACCTCGTCACAGGTAAAACCACATCACCTGTTGAACCTTTCATGCGTTGATAGAAAGCAGCAGGTGCGCTCCACATTTCATAAGAAAACCACATTTTTAAGTGTAAATACCACAGTACAAAGTCTGAAGTTATTAAAGTGCTGCTGGTGACACCAAAACAGCTTAATGATCACCATCCACTCACACCAGTGCCACCAGTTGACATTTTAACTCAAAAAATAGCCGGTCCCAGTCTGGAGCCCTGAGGCTGGTTTGTAGGAAGCTTAATTGTAGATTTAAAGTTTAACAGAAGGGCGCTGCTCAGCTGAGACTAACTGCATTAAAAACACTCCACACAGAAACACTTCTTATTACTGAGACTGAAATCTTTTCAGTAATTTGGTGCAATCCTCCTCAGCACTGAGGATCTTCAGCACTCGGGCAGCCCCATATCATCACACTCCCTGCTGCACTGTCAGGACTGTGCACCCACTGTGGTGGTCCTTGCCAGCTTCACACCAAACATGTGGACCCCATCTGAGCCCTGTTTGGTCTCATCTGACCCAGTATTCATCAGGCTTCTTCAGCAAAGTTTGTAGTTTGTACTGAAGAGCAAATAAGAGTTTTTTTTTTCTTGGACGCCATCCATAGATGTCCCAGTGATAACTCTGGAGCTAAGTCCAAAGCGCTGGCCGGTCTGTTCCAGAACTAGACTGTACCAGCAGTGCTCTGACTGCAGCTCTGGTTGGTGGTTCAACGGCTCGCTATACCTCCACATTACTACACTGCTTCCACTGACTTGTATTTGGATCTTTCTGTGCAGTTTTTCCATCTTTGTGAAGTCGTGGAGCCGTGATGCAAACATGCTGGTAGCTGCATGGTGCTAACAGCCAACCATGTTCATGCCATTAGACTCATCTGAAATCAGTTGTGATCCCAGGTTTTCTACTTTAGTGATCCTAGATGTATTCACGTCTAGTGTGGGTGTTGTCATTTCTACATAGTCTTTCTTAAGTGTCTGATTTTGGTTGCCCGTAAAAGGAAATACTGTTCAACTTATGCAATTATTGAGGTTTTGCAATTCTGAATCATCCGTCTCTGAAGTGATGCTGCTGAGAGGTGTGGCCACTGTGTGTCCTGTGACTACCACTGGTTCTCCTGGGTGCTCAGGTCCAAACAGAGCCTCAGTGGAGGCTATGATGAGCCCATTTTGAGCTGAATACGACCCCCTAGTGCCACTTATAACTCTCTGACCATTCGTTGTCCATCAGACCGCTTGATTCAGTCCTCCTGTCATTGATTAGCAACTCCAGGTCACCAAACTCCCGATTCCACCTCCTGTCATTCATTAGCAGCTCTATACTAACCAACCACTGCTTACTTTGGTATTTGCATGCAGCCCGTCCAACAAACCCAATAAAATGTGTAACTCTGCACATGTTCTGGGTCGGTTTCCCTCCTCAGACTCCTGCTCGGTGCTGGTGAGCACACCGTGCACCAGATTACTAATAAACACCCACGACAGCCAACAGGAGGACTGTGGGCGCGTTTCTTCAACACATATGTGCTTCATTTGTTCTAATAAATACAGACTCTGACTCCACTTCTCTGCTAAATGTTTTTTGGCCTGTAGCGTGAACACACTGGAATCCAACAGTTGTTTCTGTTTAATGCGACTCTGACTCTAATTATGCACGTCAGATGTTGAACTTTACTCCATTTACCTCCTCTGGCTGATGGGACAGAATGAACTGTTTACATGGCAGGAAGCAGATAAACTGGGCCGGGAAAGGGATCGCCTGCTAAAAACTGATCTGCAAAAGCCACTATGCTCACGTCTACGCATTATTCAACCTGCTCTAGGTCAACATAACAGCCACTCCAGTCCTGTTTATCAGCTTAAACAGCTTTAAAGCAGCAGTGAAGCTCATTTAATGCAGATTTCCAAAACAGTCTAATGAATCAAAATGACTTTGCTCCTTTTATGGCAGTTTAAAGATTATAGTTGACTGGTTAGATAAAACCTTCACTCTCTAATCAGGGTCATCGGACTCAAACACAAACAGGTTCAACAGCAGAACACTGTGTTTATGATCCAGTGTGACAGCCAGTAATTATTGTCAATCGATCTGTTGATCGTTTTCTGGAGGAATCGATTAGTTGTTGAAAATGGTGAAACATGTTAAACAAATGTCTGATTCTGTCCACGACCCAAAAACAGTCCTACAGAGAAGGAAATATTCACATTTGACAATCTGATTGATCACCGATTGATCAACTATCGAACCACTTGGTGAGTGATTTAAACTCACACCTGATGGATGAACCGTTGCGGCTTCATGGTCACACTTATTCTGTTACAAGCTTTCACACACACACCAGCAGGACTGCACACACCAGCTTGTGTGTTTGTACCGTTTATTAAAAGCAGCTGCAGATGCGTCGAACTGGGCCCGAGCTGCTCCACGCGCACGAACCCTGCAGACTTTGGAGTCCACAAGGCTCGACCCGGGCCACAGGAGGCAACAAAGTGCACTAACCCGAAGTTTGTTTACCTGTTTACCAAAGCCGATCTCGAACCCACGACAGAACATAACTCCATAAATAAAGTGTACTGGTCCTCCTGATCCAGATCCAGATCCTCCAGCAGCACTCACCTGCACAGCGGAGGTCTTCAGGTCAGTCCGTCTCTGAGTCTGGATCCTTCCAACTGCGTGCAAGGAAGCAGCCTGAGCTCGAGGCTTCTCTCCGGTTCACGTGCATGTGATCTGCAGCTGGAGGCAGCAACAGCGCCGCCTGTCGGCAGAGGACGGAGCAGCAGCCGCTGCTTCAGCAACACGGTTCATGTCAAACACGGATTTATTTATTCTAATATCATCAACTAAGACGGAAATAAACACAAAACGGAAATAATATGAACACAGCGGGACTTCAGGACGCAGTAAATAGAAATAACAAACAAATATTTAAAGTGAAAACACAGTGAATGGAAAAAACAAACAAACAAAACAAAAAACACGGAATTGAAAAATAAACACAAACAAGTAATTCACAACAAAAAGTAGAAACAAAATAAACAAAACACAGCAGATGGAGGAAATGTGACCACAAGTGGGAAAAATCTAAATGCAAAACTCAATGAAAAAAGTACAAACAAAAGGAATTAAAAGCACAATAAATGGAAATAACATAAAGAAATATGGAGGTTAAAAAAATAACTAAATAGAAATTCGCAAAACTAAATGAATATAAATAAAAAACTAATTCATAACAGAAAATTTAAACAACATGCACAAAAATTAGAATTTAAAACACAGTGAACAATAACAAAGATAAATACAAAATGAACTGAAAACAGAAAAGGGAAATAATATTTTTAAAAATATGTGAATTTAAAACAAAAACGGAAATAATATAAAGAAAAATGTGAATTGAAAATACAGTAAATGAAAATAATGGAACCAAAAGTGAACATTTAAAACACAGAAATAAATACAAACAGAAGATGAACTCAGAGCAGTCAGAGACCATGTTATTAACATTTATAACAGTAAATGGTGCCGCTGCTGCAAATGATGCAACAGAAATAGAAAATAGTTAATGGTGTTAATTACTGGATGGCTTCTAATGAGACAGCAGCACATTACAGCAGCTCTGGAACTCTGATACTCAAACAAATGCATTCAGGTCAGACACCCTCCCATCATGAAGGAGACACGAAACTACTGCAGTTTTTACCCAAATCAAAGTAAATCAACGGTATTAACTGAACATTCTCTGTGAGAAACAGACGAGTCATTTTCTTAATCCGTGTGTGTTTCCTGCAGCAACCGTCGTGTCAAACGCACTTGACAACAAATCAAAACAGTCAAACATATTTCCTCTTTTCCTCCATCACCAGCTGGATGCATGCAGGTTTCCATGGCAACACGACGCATACAGCCCGCTACATACAGCTCACGAGCTGCAGATTGTATTCAGGAAGCGAACGGGTGAAACAAAGTGATCTTCATGTCACCCGCCCACGACTGATGTTTTAAAACTGCATTTATCATTTTTCAGCCACTTGAAGGGAAACTGACTCTAAAAACCCAAACCACCGTACAAACCGTCGTAGCTGCTGACACAGTGTTGATGGATTACACATCCAGCAGATGTTTTCCACGTGTTGGAGTTTTGTTTCTGGCCTGTGGGTTCAGCTTCACAGCAACATTAAGTCCTGCATCTCCATGGAAACAGCACAACCACAGCTAGCAGTAGATTAAACTGTTTTCATTTTACAAAAGACAAAAATGGAATCAACATTTTTTTCAAGAGCCCTCACGTGTGTCGATTCTGGACTCTGGTTTCCCTACATGGATGTTTCACCTGTTTTTACCTCCGTGCTCATCTTCTACACTGCCTGCAGTTCAGCTGAAAGGATCTGGTGTAAATGCTTTATTTTTATTGAGATGTGTAGAATAAAGTGACTCTCAATTTTAATAAACTATTTTAGTATTGATTTTATGTTTTGTCATCTGTCTGGCTTTCTGGAGCTCAGGTCAGACATCTTGGAGCAGACGTTGACAGTTCTGCTGAGACTGTTCTTGTCCTTCGCCGACGGTCCATAAGGAACAATCTGAGCAACATGTGGAACAAGAAGGAGCTTGTGGGGGAGGAGGGCTGTTGTTCTCATTGTGTTTCCTTCCTTTTGTTCTGTGTAACATTCCACTTGCATAAAAAACAAAATATATATAAAGAACAAAGTCTGATTGGTTGACTCGTTGATGGATTGATTGATTGGCTGCCCACAGGTTTACGTAACCCCGGCACAGCTGGAGAAACCAGGCGAGCGTGAGCGAAGGCCGAGCTGATGAGGAAGAACAAGCCGCGTCCTGTTTCCTCTCATTATCTCTGGGACTTCGCTGACATCTAATTAGATTTAGGAGATGAAGAATTGTTGTTTCCTGTTCTGCTGAGTGGCTAAAATATTGTTCTGTACTGTTTTCTGTTGGGCTAATTTATTGCTGCTGTAGTTTCTATACGTGAGGCAGAGATCAGGATAAACTAGACGAACATGCAGATGTCATGTGTGTCGTATTATTTATGGCGTGAACCCCACCTCTGCTCTCTTCTTGGTTTCTGCTTCCTTTGCATCATTAAACCTCCTCTGGCCTGTGAGAATATCAGACAGATACATACTGTATGAAGTAGTTAACGGGCCTCTGTGTGGAATCACTGCACAGCAGGACGAGCTGAACCAGTGTGATCAGGGTCAGCTGAAGCTTTTACATTCTTTCCACAAGGTGGCAGCAGCGTTGTTTGTTCTG